GATTAAAGCCAATCTTAAAATGATTAAACAAACGCCTGTTTGAGACTCCTCAGTGCACACAAAAACATAACTTGGAGAAATAAATAAATACGGATATGCTATTTAAAACCACCTCGAATATGTTGTGTTAATGTTATGAAATGTTTTCTCATACATGATGCGGTAAGCAGGAGGACAGAATTACGTCTAAACTGACGCCGTTTTGCATTTCTATAGGTTGTAGATACGAGCATGGTTTTATATACTATCACGTTTAATCGTGTTTTATGCCGTTTGCCAAGACTTGATAAGTCGCTCGTAAAACACAGGAGGTATGGAAACTAAGAACACCGTGGTAAATTGTACAGCTAATATAACACAACACATTGTATTTCCTTTAACTGGTGGATTATGGATATATAGTTGCTGATCGACAGCTGGAACACAAACCACCAAATACAACAAAAATAATTCAGATCCAGTCGTCATGACTCCACTCCGGAGGGATTCCCCGATCATTTCTTAGTTTCTCATCAAGGGGGGGTCTCCTGTCCCCGGTACAAACACACTGCCTGAGGAAGGTTATGTGTATTTTTTTTGTCATTAACTTTTTTCGGACCACTTATTTATTTATTTTGGTGACGATCCGACCTCCATGCTGCTACTCTGGTTCAAACTGCATCCACCAAACAATATGATTTATCTCCACCTCCCCAAAATAACCAAAATCTGACACGGTGCGAGATGTCTTTTTTAGCTGTTCTATCGTAATTTCCTGCGATCTTCTTCATGCAGTCAGTCAGAATGAATGAATGAATGGGCGTTTCTTTGACAAGTATAGGCAAATATGGGCGTTACGAGTCGATTGTGATTTATAAAGGGAAACAGGCGTAGGGAGTGCCGTACGCATTTCCCTCGCCGGTACGCAATGTTTTGTGAATCGGAAAATGGCGGAACATTTATGTACCTATTTTTGTGCTTTGTACTACGTAAGCAACCTTCCTACGTCAATCCTACGCAAGGCGTTATAAATGAGGCCCCTGGACACAGCTTTTTTACTTAAAGGTGGGGTAGGTAATTTTGGAGAAACCAGCTCGAGTGTGCTAGAATTTGAAAATACACAACCGGAAAAAATCTGCCACTTCCTTATAGAGCCCCTCCTCCAACACACGAACGCGCACATGACCAATGAGGGCACGAGATAAGTCTGTGCACAGATGGAAGGCTGACAGGCAGGTAGGCCATCCAGTTATTTTAGCCGGGCCGGCTAAAATGATTGGTCGTGCTTTTTACAGTACTACGGCTTCCACAGATGACATTTTTTTATGGATTTTTTGTCAAAGCATATTCATTGCTATCGGGATGTTAAGAGCATTCCATGGAATATAACAAAAAGTGTATCTCGAGCCGGTTTCTCAAACTTACCTACCCCACCTTTAAGTCTGCAGTCTTGTTAAAACTTTGTATCACACCTAGTTCCAACAAAACTCCTCACGGTGCATTACCGTCGACTCCCTCTAGGTGGTGGTAAACGGCCAAACTGGAGGATCTTTAGAAGAAGCGGGGTCAAAGCTTTTGTTTCCGTTTCCGGGTCAACGATATCCTTCACAAACAAGTGAAATGTTGACCCGACTGCCTCGGCTTGGGCTCTCTTTTCCCCGGTTACTGTGTAATCCCCCGGCTCGGTTCGTCTCCCAGTCGAAACCCAGTGGTGCTGCTGGGGCGGCCTCAGTGACGGAGCTGCACCCCCCGGAGTTGAAGAGCGGACACGGGGAGGTCAGCCCGTATGTCAAGGTGAGTTCTCCCAGTGGTACCGACAGTACCGGAGCTCACTGAGACCCAGTGACCGAGCCGGGCTCAGGTCATCAGACACACGGACACAGACACTTACTGTTCTGATGTCAGTCTGAAACACACCAGTACTCACGGTACTGCTCCGTAGGAGAACCACAGCGAGCTGCAGCTAGCAACATTAGCTAGCAGAGCTACACACACTGTTGATCACGCACACTGACAGCTTCAGCCAGAGGTGAAAAAGTACACATCTTGTACTTGAGTCAAAGTAGAAGTACTAGAGTGTAGGAATACTCTGTATTAAGTGTTAGTCGTGCACTCAAAATGTTACTGAAGTATAAGTAGAAAAGTATTAGCATCAAAATATAGTTAAAGTAGCGACAGTAAAAGTAGTCATTGTGCAGATTGGTCCATTTCAGAATAATATATATGATATGTTTTATAATGATTGATCATGAAAGTGTTCTCAAAGCTGGTAAAGGTGCAGCTAGTTTGAATGACTTTGTATACTGCAGGGTAGCTTGTGAATTTACTCCAGGTGGAACTAAAGTCTGATTTAACACTTGATTATATTCCACATCATTCATCCACATCTGTAAAGTAACTAAAGGGATTAAATACATGTAGTGGAGAAAAAGTAAACCATTTACCTCTGAATTGTAGTGGAGTAGAAGTACAAAGTAAAGTACTTGAGTAAATGTACTCAGTTACTTTACACTGGCTTCAGCTATGTTGCTTTTAGTTTCTGACAGACAGTGGATGTATTTTTGAGATTGATGAAGTGCATAAGAAACTGAAAGTGCTATTATATACTAATGGTTTTATATAAATGTAGCACATTATCTTGTCTATACAGAGGTGTAAGAATATTCTGATTATTTACTCAAGTGAAAGTAGCAATACTACATTTTGTAGTAAGTACTTTGTTACAAGTAAAAGTCCTGCATTCAAAATGTTATTTTCCTTTCTTTAGTAAAAGTTTAAAAGTCTTAGCATTAGAAACTACTTTAAATACCAAAAGAAAAAGTGCTCTTCAGTGTTTACCACAGAATTTGATTCTATTTGTGGGGGCACCACACCGCACCGCCCCCCCTTAACCTATTCGGGTGGCCCACGCATCCACCCGCCCCCCCCCTCAAATAAGAAAATACATGCGAGTTCATGGCTACTGTAGACAACGTTCTTGTTGCTCTGTGTTGCGTTGTTAATGAGTGAGACACACCGGAGTTGAGGATCTGTGGGGTTTATTCTCCCTAAAATATAATTTACAATTTAGACCATTTATCCATGATTAGACCACCGAAATAAAAAAATAAAAAAAACATATTATTTTTGTTTTTGTTTTATGAGATCCATTTGTGGCGGACGATATTTATTTGTGGCGGACGATATTTATTTGTGGCGGCCCGCCACAAATAAATCAATGTATGGGAAACACTGCTCTTTATGCAGAATGGCCATTTTAGGCACCAAATACTTTAAACTGGTTGGTAAATGTAAATTAGTGTTTGCACGTGTGGAATATTAAACGTCACTACACCTTTAAACGTAATCATCAGGAATGTAGAAAGAAAGATGTCTAATAAATAAATGTGGTGTTTTTACTTGTAATATTAATAATTTACTTTACATTGTCACAATGATGTTACAATGGATTATGTGTAATATTCCCACTTAAAGTCTGCACTCCAACAAGTCTGAGATCAAGTGAGGAGAATAGACCTAAATATTACAATATTAAGTATGCACACTTTATCCATAATAATACACACTCAGTCAAAAAACAACACCCTGTTGTAAATACATTGAGGATAAAATTAAGCGTGAATTGCACAAGGGTATATTTAAAAAAGTGTTATTTATATTTACAGACGGTGTTGAATAATGTATTCTGAATGTCTGTACTGTGTGTGATGCCTCTCTTATGTAATTGTCAGAATCCAGACTACCATGGCTTCTCCCTGGACCCCGTGGTGGATGAGTGGAACATGAGAGTGGGCTTCTTCTTCGGCATCTCAGTGGCTCTTGTTATTGGAGGAGCATTTATCCACTATTTACCAGACCATGGGTAATGTTACACATTATAAAAGCTCACTCATTGTTTCTTAATTACTCAGGCTATTAAGATGTTTTGGTGGCCTTCAGTCCAAAGCTGCCACCCAGCAGTCAAGCTGGGGATTATTGTTATGAATGTATAGAATTATTCAAGTTGTATTCTCTTGTGTTTGTGTGTGTAGCATGCGGGAGTGGGCCAGGAGGGAGGCGGAGCGTGTGATCCTGCAGAGAGAGCAGGAGGGTGTTCCTCTGTTAAGCGAGTACTACTTCGACCCAGAAAAGATTGTTCTCCCCAGCTCTGGAGAGCAGTAGGATCAAACATCCTCCTTCTGTATTTCATGATTAATGTATTTCACTGAGAGAATAAATGATTCTGTATGTAACTGTTGAACTGTGTTATCATCATGTTTGAAAATTACTTCTTAAACAGCATTTAAATGTTTTGAAAAAATGAATGAAAGGTTAATCTTCAATGATTGGAACGTAAGCTCTGTGTTTGCCGTTGGCTCGGTGCTACAAGCCGTTTGTGGTCAGAACTAAAAATAGGTCTGAGGTTTGAAATCCAGCCTTTAATATAACTAACAAACGATTGAATTGATTGTTCAACATTGACTAGTTTGAAAATGATACAAAATACCTCCAGACCGTACCGTATTGAGGTAACCATCATCACAATGTTTCACAAATGTACCGGTACTTTGGATACGTTATATTTCCAAGTAATATTTGAATGGAAACACATTTTGATTACGTTCTCTTTAAAAGTAATCTGATCAATAGCTTAATGAATTGCATTATTTAAGCTATACATATCTAGCCACTGAAACAACCTGTAATTATTATAATGGCAACCTTTAACCTATACTGCTCCAGCACAACAAAAAGCAGGGCACATTGATACAAAGAGTTGCACCTGGACACGAAATTCTTGGAAACGTCTTATAATTATGTTTTCCAAGCATTTATAGCCAAAACTAGATCCGAATTCAAATATGATTTATTTACAAAGCATCTACGCCCTTTAGAGAGTTCCCACGGTGAAACTGTTAGCAGTATTGTAGATTGTTCATGGGTGACATCGTTAATGTTGGTTTTTCAGTGAGTCTTTGAACGCAGCAGAGGTAAATTGCTACAGTGCGCATGCGCGCTGGACTGAAAGCGGAAATCTGGCGCCATGTTCGCGCACAGCACCTCATTGAAAGTAAACAGTCGTTCCTGCAGCAACTACTCACTGCGGTTAAAGCAGGTCGAATTATTGAGTACTGAGACTTCTGACTACGGGTTCTGCTGCTGCTGCTGCTGCTGCTAGGAGACCATGACTTCACTCACTCTGAAAGGAGTGACAGTGAACTTCCCATTTGTTCCATATGACTGTCAGAAGGACTACATGAGCAAAGTGATAGAGTGTCTCCAGGAGGTAATGAAAGAACTGTGATGGGATATTTTTCTCAGCTGGACAGGAATCATCCATACATTCATGTACTGGTCATGTTGTAGTTTACAAAAGGTCCTTCTTTCTTAATATGGAGAGAGCTTCATCTGGTCCTCTGTATGGTTAGTGTGTCCAAATGTCTTTAATGCTGCTGCCTGTTCATCTACACTGGCTGATCGTTAACCACTGGTGGAAAGTAACATCGACTCAAGTACTGCACTTAAGTACCATTTTGAGATACTTGTGCTTTACTTTAGTGTTTACAGTTGTTGATACTTTGTACTTCTACGCAACTACGATTCAAAGGTAAATGGTGTACTTTAACTCCACATGTATTTAATACCTTTAGTTACTTTACAGATGTGGATGAATGATGTGAAATATAATCAAGTGTTAAATCAGACTTTAGTTCCACCTGGAGTAAATTCACAAGCCACCCTGCAGTATACAAAGTCATTCAAACTAGCTGCACCTTTACCAGCTTTGAGAACACTTTCATGATCAATCATTATAAAACATATCATATCTATTATTCTGAAATGGGCCAATCTGCACAATGACTACTTTTACTGTCGCTACTTTCACTATATTTTGATTAATACTTTTCTACTTTTACTTCAGTAACAATTTGAATGCAGGACTTGTACTTGTAACGGAGTAGTCCTACACTCTGGTACGTCTACTTTTACTCAAGTACAAGTACTTCTCCCATCTCTGTCTTAACCCTTAAAATAGTGTTGTTACTCTATATAAAATAATCCAATAATTAATACGCCATATGCGAAGTTTGAGATTTGCTGCCTGGTGGATTGACATGATGTTGCTGAAGTCAAATCCTCTGGTTTGTGAAACATCTCCCTTGTTCAGACTGAGGTAACATCTGTTTGAAGGGAGATGTTTGGCAGAGATAAAACCAGTGCACACATGTTTCTCTCTCTCAGAAGGCCAATGGGGTTCTGGAGAGTCCGACAGGTACCGGTAAAACTCTGTGCCTGCTCTGTGCCACCCTGGCCTGGAGGGAGCGCTTCAAGGACACCATCTCTGCTCGCAAGATCACAGAGAAGCTGAAAGGAGAGGAGATGTTCTCCAACACCCCGCTGTCCTCCTGGGGGACGGCTGCCACAGACGGAGACACACCAAGTACGTTCAGATCATGGCACCATCACATCAAGCAGTTCAAGTGTTCCACTGCCTGTGTTCTTCTTTAATGATATTAAATAAGAAAGCTTTATTTGTATAGCACTTTTCATACAGCAGGTGCAGCTCAGAGTGCTTTCACAACATGGCACACATCACAAACTAACAAAAAACAAGAAATTCACTTCAGGTTAAACGTTAAAACATTTTTGCACACATGCAGCATAAAAACACAATATTACAGTTCAAGGGACCCAAGGGCGTAAAACATGGGATAAGAAAATGAAAATACAACAAATAATGATCCCTCTCGGTAAAATAAATGGAGAGATAAGACATCATTATTAAATACAATAAAATATGAAAACCTATAAAATAAATAAAAGAATTATACAAATAGTAAAAGAATAATGAAAAAAGAGAAATATCAAGATTAAAAGGCCAATTTAAGGTCGCTAAAAAACCTATAAAATCCATGTCAATTATTATTAACCTTATTAAAATAAATAATAAGAGTAATAACGAATAAAAGACCAATTTAAAAGGGGTGTCTAATCTAAATACATGTTTCTTCAGCTGTTGTTCAAATGTAATGGGACTTGATGTTAGTTATTGTACACTGCTCCCTAGACGCTGCGTAGACTCACTTTAAACCCGCCCACTCTAGCATGTTCCAAACGGGCACTGCACTAGTTCTAATCATTGAAATCGTATATCATACAAAAGGGTTGGGGGATATGATGAGTGCTAAATACTCTCCCCTGCAGCTCATTCCATGTTACTGATGTAGAGATACAGCAGCTGACACGACTCTCTGAAATATAATGGATTTGTGTTTTTATTGTTTCTCAGCCTACTACACTGATGTTCCCAAGATCATTTACGCATCCAGGACACACTCTCAGCTGGCTCAGGTTATCAAGGAGTTAAAGAATACTTCCTACAAGTAAACTATTCCATTTGTCTACAGTAGTAGATGTTAGAAATATATTGTTTATGCATGATTAATGCAACATGTGTGGAATGCTTCTTTTGTCGGGGTCAGCTCACTTCAGAAACAACATTTAGAGGGCAAATGAGGTTTTGGATATGATTTTGATATTAAAGATAAGATAATAATGTTGAATGGAGCATGATGCCTTAATATTGTTGCCCCAGACTTTTTACAGAGAGTAATTCTTTGAAACATTCCTGAATGATAGCATGCCTCATAAGTGAAGTTATAAGTTAGCAACTACAATCGGTACAGAAAGTGTTGCAACTCGTTCTTTAAACAGGGCCTCGTATTGCTTATAAGGGGAAATATGAAGGGTATATTTCAAGCTGGTTATTTAAATAAGTTATTGGGCTTTTTTTTATCAAATAAGATTTGTTAGAAATGTTTTCAACTTTGGGAAAATTGGGCTTATTAACAAATGAATACCCTGTCATGTATTTGTACATATATTTACAAAGAACAATATGAGAAAAGCACAGGTTTCAGGTGTGGGTCATATTCCTTTATGCTTTTAGAATTCGCTGAGAGCCAGTTTAAAATGAACCCTAACACCACTACTGTAGTTATTTGGATGATCTACTATTATTTTAAACACATTTTAAATATGTGACAGTGACCTAAAGTGTCACTGCTCATACAGCTGAATGTTCATAGTATGTCTTTTTCTGATGTACAGCACAGATGAGCTGAGTGTGTTCCTGTTAAATCCATTCATCAATGTCACCATTATGTGTGTGTGTTTCTGCTGCTTCAGGCCAAAGGTGTGTGTTCTGGGATCGAGAGAGCAGCTGTGTATCAACCCTGAAGTCATGAAACAGCAGAGCAACCATGTTAAGGTATGAAAACCATAACATCATGTTGTTAGATAACATTCAAATTGTCAGGGGCGTACTGTTAGTGCTGAGTCAGCTGAAGTGTCTGAAGGATGCAGGCACGACCCCAAACTTCTCCCGGCTCCTTGTCGATATTTTCAAACTCATTCGTGTTAATTCTAAGCACCAACAGTGAGCGGGGAGAATATCTTTGTCTAATAAAATCAGAAGGAAGCATCCTAAAAAAGTAACTGCTGGGTCATTTATATGAATGAGCTGATGCAGCAGTCCTTGTCCTTGAGTCCATGTTGCTAATATCTTAACAAAAAGTGGTGGTTATGGCACAAACCACTTCTACAGATTTCACTATACTTTTTGCTTTGCTTTGTTTTTCAGGTCCATTCGTGCAGAGCCAAAGTTTCCACAAGATCATGTGTCTACTACAATAACGTGGAAGGTAATGTTCAATATTCATACTTGGTAGAGCTAGCTTACATGCAGTAGAGATCAGTGACACAACAATGGAACCCTGCAGGCTGCTAGTACAGGCTACATGCACTACACTTACTAGGAACCCCAACTGAAAGCAAGGTCTGAGTGGCGTGTAAGCATTCTGTCTTCCAATCCACACTGATTTGTCTTCTGTAGACGTCTTAAAGCCCCGGTCTCTGGGAAGCTGCATGCTAACGTGCCTTCACCAGAGGGACTGACAGCGGTCACTTACTGAGCCAGAATAGATTTCATGTTGGCTCCATGTCAAGATATCAACAGTATTAAACGTATCCATTCATTGATGTTATATCCCCACCCACAGTAGCAAGTGAGATATCCTGCCTGTAGAAGCATAAAACACTTGGTGAGCGCTGTCTCACATTTGTTTCACTCAGTGTGGATTGGTACATTTGGTAGAGGTAAAGTGCGTCTGTGACTGATGCTTCTGGAAGCTACCAGTAGGTTGACCATATAGTTTAAGCATTGTTACATCTGGCTATTTTCCAGCTGTTGGCAAGCAGTGATGGGTTTATCATGGCAATTGCATAACACCTTTATGGCCTCCTTTTCTTTTCTTTTGCCTTTAGAGAAGAGCACTGACAAAGAGTTGGTGAATTCAGTCCTCGACGTGGAAGACTTGGTCAAATTTGGCAACAAACAGAGGTGTGTCTCACACACTGCTCGTGTGTTTGGCTAATACATTTGTGCTTTATAAGGAGTCCAATCAAACAACTGATGCATGGTTTTTAGTTGTTCTTGAATTGTAGGACAGCAACATATAATTTTGAAATATTATGAATTAGTCATCCGATATATTAGACCTTAAATAATTAGAAAATCAAGTATTGTAATTATTTTCATCTCTGTCAAAAGGTTAGAATCTTTGTAAAAACAGTTTAGCTTTGTTAACGCCTTACAGCTTTTTGATTTCTGATGCTTTCCGTGTTCTTTTATCTCCCCCTGTCCTGCTGAAAGTCCTCTGTTAGAAACTTATGCACACTTTCACTCACAAATTCACTTTAAAAAAAAAAAAAATTCTGAGGCAAATGATATCACTGGTTCAGGCGATGTGATGTGAAAACCAGTCTCATATATGTTGTTTTATTTTTATTGGCTGCGGTTGCAGAGAGATAGAGCAGGTCCTCAATTTATTGGAAGGTCAGCAGTTGAATCCTCTTCCAGTCAGCCTTTCAGTGTCTTTGGACAACGTACTGAACCGTGCATTGCTTCCAGAAGGCACAGCCATCGTGTGGGAATAAGATAAATGATGCTGCCTTGTATGGCAGCTCTAACATCAACGTCTTGGTGAGGACATTTTAGCATGGAATGTAAAAAAGCATTGTTGGTGGACTAGAAAGGCGCCATATAAACCCATGTCATGTTTGAAGAAACCAGGCGGTGACATCAACAATAAGTAAACACCGTTTTATGCTATCTATGGTCCCAGCTGCAGCCCAGTGTTTGCTTCTACACACACTGTGGAACGTTTTGAGAGGCCATGGAGGAGACACAGAATAAAAAGCCCAAATGATTCACTTTAAATACATGTTCAAAAAGTAGATTTGGGGTAACAGTCTTTTCTGGCTAGTTATCAATAAGCTTAAAATAAAAGGACTCGATATAAAAGGTAATTTGAGAAGTTAAATGAAGAACATGTCTCCTTCCTGTCGTGCAGTGAATCACATCAGCAGTAAGAGAGAGGATGACAGGATCCATCATAACATCTGAATCAGAAACACTGAATTATTTCTCCCTGCTTGGTTATATTTGAATTCACTCAGTGTTTAATTTAAATAATATTACTCTGGATTTTTAGACTTTTCATTTTTTCAAGGGCGATTGAGTAACAGTGATATTGCTGATTCTGCTGAGTTATCATGTCCCCTGTAATGTAGACAAAGTCCTAGGTATTGCATGCAGTGTGTACATTTCAGTTGAACGTAGAATATGTTTGTGCAGGGTCTGTCCTTACTACCTGTCCCGGTCCCTGAAGCAGCAGGCAGACATTGTTTTCACGCCGTACAACTACCTGCTGGATCCAAAGGTGAGCAGTCACAGAACACACATCAGATGGCTGTAGATGGAGGGACAGAGATGACTTTGTGTCAATCATGTAATTATACAATTCTGAAGCAGGGCCTGAAATAATGGAACAGAAACCCTTAGCCACATTGAGCCTTTAGTACTGTACATTAGCAAGGGTACCCTTTATATACCTGCTTCATACATACAAAACAGTTGTTGGGCAGAATATACCATATACCTTCTTTTCTATCTATTTAATCATCCTGTCATTTACTGCTTTGTAGCCACTCGTATTATTCAGTGAAATCATTGAAATGCTGGTGTTTTGTTCTTTCACTTTGTTCCACAGAGCCGCAGAGCGCACAACATCGAGCTGAACGGAGCGGTGGTCATCTTCGATGAAGCTCACAATGTGGTGAGACTCTTTCTCCACATTCAGTTGTTCTGAAGGGATGCACTGTGTGTGTGGAGCCTGCTGTCGGAGCACCCCCGCCTGTTCCAGAGACATGTCTGGCCCTGTATTTAAAACACTAGAACCCCGATCCCTCTCCAACATCTCTGTCAACTCTGTAAACTACCAATGCAGATAATGGCTCAGACGCTCTTGTTGTGCATACAGATAGAGACGAGAGTTGTAAAAAACGTTACCCTGTCTACTTGTTCTACTTGATAATAATTACCAATCACTGAGTGTCAAGTTGTTTGTTTGGAAAAGTTACAAAATACTTGTGACTTCAATTTTTTCAGAAACTGTTAAACTCACAAGCACAGCTGCACATTCCCAGCCAGTCTACTCCTCTAATTTAAAGGGGACCTATTATGCTATATTTGAAAAATATATTGTAGGGCCATACCTATACAAAACGTGTCTCTGAAGTTTTTTGCTTACAATACCAAACAGATCACCCATTGTAGCCATGCCTTATACCCCTCTATTCCAGCCCTGTTCCAAAAAGGCTGATTCTGTGACCGTAGCTTTAAATGGAACAGCTGCTGCTAGCCACGCCCCTTTGTAGCGTCACACAGCTTTCCCCTGCTAAGAGAGTTTTCTACCGGGAGATCTCAGCTAAACGCTGCCGTGATTAAATGCCATATTATGTTCTTAACCACTTCAAGCATTATTTCTGAAACAGTATGGAGCTCAAACGCTTTTCTCTCTCGCAGGGTTTACCACAAGGACATTACGTTACACATATTCTCTCCAGTACAGCGTTAGCTCTGAGTGTTAGCATGCTTGCTAATGTAAACACAGATTACTCCCAAAACACGCCGCACATTGTTTCTGATACAGCACATAGCTTGACATGTTCTTTCTTAAGTGTTTACTGATAGAACAGTGCCATTATATATAACAACTTAACTCTAAGTGCCTCCTGCAGACATCCTGCTGAATACACAGACACACAGCTGCGAGAGGGGATTCAGCTAGACGACTGTATATGGAGACGATAGGTTGGGACATGTCACGTGTGCCACATTTGACCAATGATGTCCAAATCCTGGATCTGCTCGTTTGCACCCCCGTTTTTTTTTTTTTAGAGATGTGGGTAAGGAGGAAACGAGAGAGGGTTGTATTTTCTGAAACTTTGTGAATCTCCTTACACACCGGGGACACATATTTATGTATAAAAGACATCAAAAAGTGCATTTTGGTATATGGCACACCACTGTGGAAGTACACAACATAACCATCTGATGCTTTATTTTAAAACATAAAATATGTTTTGGTTTTATTTTACTGAGGGTTGCAGACTTGATCTAGGATGATGAACAACGTGGTCCTGCTGGAGGTCAGTCCCTGGGGCAGAGAGTCACCACATTGTGTCTGTGTTGCAGGAGAAGACGTGTGAAGAATCCACATCCTTTGACCTGACTCCATATGATGTGGCCTCCGCCATCACTGCTGTGGACCGGCTGCTGGCGGAGCAGGCGAAAGAGGCCAGCCATGGAGACACTGTCAGTGACTTCAACGTGGAGTCCCTCAACTCTGGTCCGTTTCATTTGTCCCACCCACTGAGGATGCACACTTTCAAATGTTAACAAATCCATCCCTGCAGTACATGTACTTACAGAGGGATATCTTTTTGTTTCAGGTTTAAAATTGGAATTAGCTACCATTGCTAAAATTAAACGTAAGTTAAGTTACCACAATCATCTCATGCACTAGATTTGGCTATTGCTTAGTCAGTGCTGTGGGATTGTTACCAACGGTTTCTGTCTGCTCTGACAGAGATACTGCTGGATCTGGAAACCGTCATCGATTCCTATGATGTTCCAAATGAAGTAGGCATCACAAAACCTGGAATGTAAGTGAAAGTATGAAAGGAGAGAGTAAGAATCAGCACTGTCTGTCAGTGGATCAGTCCTTCTGTGTTCTCCGTCTTCCAAAACAAAACCTGTTTACGGCTTAGATTCTCCGTCCTGATGGTGCAGCTTGCTGCTAACAGGTCATCAGTTATGATGTCAAATAGCACATTAAGTTAAAAATGATATATTTTAAATCTCTTAACTAGAAAAGAAATTCATTGTTATTATTACATTTGTATAAAATCTAGTGGTGTTAAGTAACTAAGTATATTTACTCAGCTACTGTACTTGAGTACAATTTGTTGCTACTTTGTACTTCTATTTCACCACAATTCAGAGGTAAATGGTGTACTTTCTCTCCACTACATGTATTTAATACCTTTAGTTACTTTACAGATCTGGATTAATGAGGTGAAATATAATCAAGTCTTAAAGGGGACCTATCTTGCTAAATGCACTTTTGTATGTCTTTTATACATAAATATGTATCCCCGGTGTGTCAGGGAACTCACGCAGCGTCAGAAAAAAAAACCCTATCTCTTTTCCTCCGTACCCAAATCTCTAAAAACGGCGGTACAACGGAGCTGATCCAGATTTGCCCCCGATATGACTTAATATCGGAAATGTGGACCCACAGCACTATCAGAAACAATGCCTGACTGTTTTGGACGTAATATGGTCGGTGTTTACATTAGCATCGCTAACACTCAGAGCTAACCTGTACTGCACAGAGCATGTGTGTGAAGAAGCAGGAACTCACCTTGTGGTATAACCGGCAAGAGAGAAAGCCTTTATTATTATTTCAGCTCCATACTGTTTCATAAATAATCCTTGATCTAATAATCATTGATCTAATAATCCTTGCGTTTCATCACCGCAGCATTTTAGACAGTATCTGCCAGGTCCCGCATGAGCCGCTAAAGGCTCCGCGCCCTCTTATTTTTAAAAAGCTTAATTTTTTTATTTAGCCTTTATTTATACAGGTGAAAATCTCATTGAGACACAGGGTCTCATTCTCAAGAGAGACCTGTTTATACCCAGAATCAGCACTTTTGGAACAGGAAGAGAAATAGAGGGATATGAGGCATGGCTAGAATGGGTGATCTGTTTTTTTGTTGTTGACCAAAACACTTCATAGACATGTTTTTTTATATTTTTGTATATATCTGAGACCTATGCTATTGCCTAAAAAATGCATGATAGGTGACCTTTAAATCAGACTTTAGTTCCACCTGGAGTAAATTCACAAGCTACCCTGCAGTATACAAAGTCATTCAAACTAGCTGCACCTTTACCAGCTTTGAGAACACTTTCATGATCAATCATTATAAAACATATCATATATATTATTCTGAAATGGACCAATCTGCACAATGATTACTTTTACTGTCGCTACTTTCACTATATTTTGATGAGAATACTTTTCTACTTTTATGCAGGACTTTTACTTTTACCTAAGTACAAGATCTGAGTACTTCTCCCACCTCTGATAAAATGTAAAATGTCTTCAGTTATCTCAGTTTCTGGATTGTAATGAAGTGTTCTCTGTCCAGCTTCATCTATGAGCTGCTGGAGAGAGCCCATCTGACCTACAGCTCCAAGACGGCTGTGCAGGAGGCTCTGGAGCAGATCACTGGATACCTCGCAGGACGTCAGTACGGCTTCATCACTTTCTATTGTTGAACACATGTCACTTGATTTACCTTCCGTTTTCTGCTGTCCACCATGTGATGGACATGTTGTTTCATTTCCATTCACACAGAAGTAGGAATTATAGGCCTTCAGCTGTATATATCACACACACCCCGTTTCTGTTACAATGCAAAATAATGTGTGTATTCATTTGTATCACTAACAAAGAGTTGTGACATGTTTTATCCTCAGAGCCGGGGGTGTTTGTGAACACAAGTGGACTGCAGCAGCTGACTAATATCATACAGGTGTGCTACATGGTGAAGTTTTAGTAAAAGTTTCTAGAATAGACTTTTCACACTCTGTATTCCTGAGAGCGAGATGTTCCTGAGATGCTAGGCTAATGTTTAAGGTTAGCCTAGCTCAGTGGTTCCCAACCTGGGGGGCGCAGCGCTATTGCAGGGGGGGGGGCGCGTGAAGCTTGGGAAGAAGTTGTAAACAAACATTGTTTGCTGGTAAAATCAATAAAATGGACACATTTTTAACACAACCGGCAGTTAAAAGAAAAGTTGACGAGCCCACGACAAGCCTTTCAGATATAATGCCCAAATCAACAAAGTATGATAAGGCATACATCTCCCTTGACATCTAACGTGTTCGGTGCGGAGATCTCTCTCTCTCTCTCTCTCTCTCTCTCTCTCTCGTCTGTGTGCGGGGGGCTGGGTATCTCGCTCACAGACTCGCTGCAGCGACGTGCACACAGAGATCCGCCGGTGGAGAACATAGCGTTCAAAAGTGACAATCTAATCTATAGAGCTCGATGTGGGCAATGCTCGTTTGCCATAAGTATTTTCGTGGGAAGTATTTTTCATTAGTTTTACCAAAATAACTTGATTTAATTGTATTTAAAATAACATTTCCAAAGAAATAAATCCTTCGAAACTGCCTATTCAGTTTCTGTTTGAATGTGAAGGGTTAAATGAAAGAAGCTCCTTTAGCCGTCTCTGCGAGTTATGTGAAGATAGGAGAGCTTGGTGGTCCTGCTGTAAATTCACAGAGGGCCAGCTATAGCAGTGGCGAGCCGTGACTTTTATACCTAGGCCCTCTGACCCCCACCCCTTTCCTCAAAAAAAAGTTTAGATGAGTTATTACATCACAGCGTATACTTCAGCGGAATATCAAAACAACGGCCCGGGGTGCAAAACGCATCAATGAAAGCGACCCTCTACCACACAAAACAACACCTGTAAATAACCCAATTTGTGTTCTTTGAAATTGAAAAGGATATTGCATTGTGTTTGTTACTTTCGTTGCAGTTGTATGTCTTAAGTGTAATTTGGCATGCTTTTATTTTGAAGGCGAGTTTACGCTGTTGACAGGAAGTTGTTGTTGCTATGGAAACAAGCAAAGCTTCACAGCGGGCGGAACTTGTCATAAAGTCCGCGATAATAAAACCCACCCATTTAGAGGGAAGATATGATTGGTCAATTGTACTGTCATTTGACATTACTCACTCGTTCAGTTACTATAGCGGGCCCTCTGTGAATTTACAGCAGGACCACCAATCAGCTCCTATCTTCACCTCGCAGAGACGGCTAAAGGAGCCTCTTTCATTTAACCCTTCACATTCAAACAGAAACTGAACAGGCAGATTCGAAGGATTTATTTCTTTGGAAATGTTATTTTAAATACAATTAAATCAAGTTATTTTGGTAAAACTAATGAAAAATATAACAAAAAAAATATAAAAAAAAAAAAAATGAAATGAAAAAATATTTTTTTAATGTTTTTAAATATTATTTTTGTAGGGCCCTGACGGCTCGCCACTGCGCTCTAGTAACTGCAGGAGAGAGTAATGTCAAATGACAGTACAATTGACCAATCATATCTTCCCTCTAAATGGGTGGGTTTTATTATCGCGGACTTTATGACAAGTTCCGCCTGCTGTGAAGCTTTTCTTGTTTCCATAGAAACAACAACTTCCTGTCAACAGCGTAAACTCGCCTTCAAAAATAAAAGCATGCCAAATTACACTTAAGACATACAACTGCAACGAAAGTAACAAACACAATGCAATATCCTTTTAAATTTCAAAGAACACAAATTGGGTTATTTACAGGTGTTGTTTTGTGTGGTAGAGGGTCGCTTTCATTGATGCGTTTTGCACCCCGGGCCGTTGTTTTGATATTCCGCTGAAGTATACGCTGTGACGTAATGACTCTTTTTTTTTTTTTCTTTTTTTTTGAGGGAAGTGGTGGGGGTCAGAGGGCCTAGGTATAAAAGTCACGGCTCGCCACTGTCACTGACAAGCATGTTTTTGTCTGATCTGTACACAAAGAAACTTCCTGTAGTGTTGTCACCATAATGAGATTGTCAGGTTTTGTATCATTGTGACTGAATATAAAACCTGTTCTCATTGACTCTATGTGAACACCTGCACAAATGAGCATACTTCACAAAATGAGCTGCTGTAAACTGCACATTATACCAAAACGATGGAACACACGATTACTTTGCTATAGCTACAATCATTTTATCTCTCTTGTAGCTGGTGTTCTGTGGGGAACCATCAGAAAAGGAGAAACAGCAGCAGATGGAGACCAACACGGCTCATTTTAAGGTGCGCGTTCATTCAAAGATTTGTATGTCCTCACACGTGTTAGATATGTACACAGTGATGTCAGCCCTCATATCTGTGTGTTTGGCTCAGGTTCATATCCATCAAGACACCAGCCATCAGAAGAAAAACCAGAGCACGGATGTCTGGGCTTCATCATCATCATCATCAAAGAAACAAGGTTTTATTTTTATTTGTTCAACTTTATTCAACAATTATTGCAATACATCATAAAAAGTCACATAAACATCAGTGTTCAGTACATTAGCTCAAAACGGAGGGTGGCTACTCAGGAATTAAGTTGTTTAGAAATGTAAATTGTTAGGCTTTTTTACGTTTGCACAACTTTATAAAAATGTTGTATAATTTCATATCATTAAATGTGGGGATATATTTAGTTAAAATAATGGAATTATGAATTCCAAATTTCAAAGAATCAAGGTAATAAATAAAACACCCTGAGCAAATTTCCATGAAATTATGCATTTGTGTTTAGTCATGTTTAGTTTGTCGTTACTTTTGCTCGCCTATCTGCATATTCTGTGTAAATCTTAAATAAATGTTTATCTGAGCCCTGTAGGCAACATCTTGAGTTACTGGTGCTTCTCTCCGGGCTACAGCATGCAGAGCCTGGTGGATCAAGGGGTCCGCTGCATCATTCTGACCAGCGGGACCCTCTCCCCCCTCTCCTCCTTCACCTCTGAGATGAGGATGTAAGTACCCGTTGCTCCTCAAAGTCCATTTTAGCAGAGGTGATGGAAGTATTCAGATGCTTTACTTGAGTAAAGTACCAAAACATTAAAGTCCTGCATTAAAAATCGTACTTAAAAAAAGTATTATCAGCAAAATATACTTAGTGTATAAAAATGTAAAGTAATCATTGGGCAGGAAAATGTGTCTTTTAGTGTGTTTTATATATTACATTTATATATGTGACATTTCTAGATAATATTGTTGCATCAAGTAGCATTTTACTGTTGTAGACAAACACAGTTCTGATTGACTTTTTGTTCAATATTTAAATAATTTGAGTCTTGTTACCTAAAGAGTTATCACTAGTTATATGTTTTAACTAGTTTTTTGTTTAATAAATATAGTGGAGTAAAACTAAATGTTTTCCCTTTTAAATGTGTAGAAGTATAAAGTAGCACTAGATGGAAATACTCAATTTAAGTACAAGTACCTCAACATTTTACTTAAAGGTCCCATGTCATGCTTTTCCGGTTATTACCCGTCCCCTTGTGTGTTATGAAGGTTTTTCTGCATGTAAACGGTCTGCAGAGTTACAAACCCTCAAAGTACACCCTGTAGCGAGTAAAACTCTAACACAGAAAAGACCTGTCTATGCTGCCCCAGAACGCCTCGTTGGAGATTTATCTTTTTCTATTGTTTTCTTCCTGGGTACATTGACGTCCCATACCCAAATGGATCCATTGGTCCAAATGGACCAATCCGTGGAGCCGTTACATTAAGTCTGTGGATTGGTCCAAATGGACCAATCCGCGGACTTCCTCACACACACACACTCAGGCCCAGGCTCCACGGGAACGCATACGGCAAAACGCATAGGATTAACGCAAACGCAAACGCCAAAAGGCTTCCGTCCACACGCAATATACACCGGATTGTGTCTTGCTACACGAGACGGCTCCGTTTACATCCAACCGCTGGAAAAGCTGCAGTACATATACGCGTTTATGTCCATATCGAGATAAAGATAAATAATCTGAATTCAGTGTGCAGTGTACTTTTGCGGGGGTGAGCAGCAGAGGCGGGGAGAGGCGGGGCTATTGCGTCGTCATTATCAGAAACGGATGACCGTATAGGCTACCACACGGCCCCGTTGGACCCCCCAGAGCGCTCCGTTCCCAGATCTATCCACCTTTGGACCCGTTGTCGTTTGCAGGGTCCGTTTCTACCGTTCCGTTACGGCGTCGTGTAGCTTAAAGGGCTATACGCAAGAGAAATATGCGGATAGAACCCGTTTTCGTTCCCGTGGAGCCTAGGCCTCAATCTTTTCTCAGCTGCAGCTCTGCCGATTTCTCCTCCCTGAGACGGCGGGACGCGGAGAGGCTGTGAGTCGGTGTGTGAGCACACACACACACTCCCAGCCAGGCTGCGTGTGTGTGTGTGTGTTCGGGCTGGGTTTCGCTGTGTCTCGCTGTCTCGCAGACGGCCACTGGGCTCATAGGGAGGGGGGGGGCAGGAGCTCCAACAAGCCGTTTAGGACAGAGAGTGAATACACATACTATACAGAGATGCTGTATGAGAAACCAATGTGAGTTTGGAAAATTGCACAATATAAATCTATTTTAGTATACCTCAACAATGGAATTATGATCAGTAGAAATGGCCAAGACATGGGACCTTTAAGTACAGTTCTTGAGTAAATGTACTTAAGTACTTCCCACCTCTGCATTTTACGAACAGTGGTGCATGATGGGCCTTACCACTGACTTCAGAGATCGCGTTAACAAGGTTTTTTCAGTTTTTTGGCCAATTCTTTTAAATGTTTGTATTATAAATGTAAATGCCTTACATAAAAGTAATCAGGAAAGTTTCTCTCAAGCACTTTAAATCAAACCCTGGATATGTTCATGTTGTTATCATCAGGTAAAAGATAAGATAAGATATACTTTATTAATCTCAAATTGGGAAATGTTTTAATATATAGGTATATAGTACATTGGTCTTGATCCCAAAGTGTTTTGTTGGTGTAGAAAGTTCCCTGTGAGTCTGGAGAACAGTCATGTGATCGAGCGGGACCAGATCTTTGTGAGCGTCATCGAGCGCGGCCCGGATGGAGAGCAGCTCAGCTCAGCGTTTGCTAGAAGGTTCGTATTCTACAGATAGGCCTCACACTTTAGTGATTTAAAACAAGTATTTAATTTTACTGTACAATATTTAATTTTACATTCTGTTCTTGTATATCTCAAGGCTCAAGGCTTTTATTTGTCATACGTACATAGCTACAGTGTAGTTATGTCGATGAAAATCCTAGGTCACAGACTTCTCCAACAGTGCAAGTAAATACAAAAAGAAAAATAGTGCAATAGGAGTCTATATACAAGTGATTGGAATATTATATATGAGATAAATCATTTCTAAGTTGCAGTCAGATGACTGTTATGGATGTTGTTTCCAAAGTTCAGGTGTTTAATAGTCTTCTGGCCTGTAGGATGAAACTGTCCCTGAGTCTGGTGGTTTCAGCCAGTCAGGATGCTCTCTATGGTGCACCTGTAGAAGGTCAGGATGCTCTCTATGGTGCACCTGTAGAAGGTCAGGATCCTCGCTATGGTGCACCTGTAGAAGGTCAGGATCCTCTCTATGGTGCACCTGTAGAAGGTCAGGATGCTCTCTATGGTGCACCTGTAGAAGGTCAGGATGCTCTCTATGGTGCACCTGTAGAAGGTCAGGATCCTCTCTATGGTGCACCTGTAGAAGGTCAGGATCCTCTCTATGGTGCACCTATAGAAGGTCAGGATGCTCTCTATGGTGCACCTGTAGAAGGTCAGGATCCTCTCTATGGTGCACCTGTAGAAGGTCAGGATGCTCTCTATGGTGCACCTGTAGAAGGTCAGGATCCTCTCTATGGTGCACCTGTAGAAGGTCAGGATGCTCTCTATGGTGCACCTGTAGAAGGTCAGGATGCTCTCTATGGTGCACCTGTAGAAGGTCAGGATCCTCTCTATGGTGCACCTGTAGAAGGTCAGGATAATCTCTATGGTGCACCTGTAGAAGTTGCAGAGTATCCTGGAGTCCATGTTGAACCTCCTCAGCCTGCGGAGGAAGAAGAGCTGCTGTCGAGCTGTTTTGGTGATGGTGTTAGTGTTAGTGTGAGTCCATGTCAGGTCCTCAGTGATGTGGACACAGAGGAACCTGAAGCTGCTGACTCTCCACCGTAGTCCCATTGATGGCGATGGGGGCGTGTCTCTCTCTCTGCTGCTTCCTGTAATCCACAATCAGCTCCTTGGTTTTGCTGACGTTGAGATGGAGGTTGTTATCCTGGCACCAAGATGTCAGGTTTTCGACCTCTCTGTACGCCGTCTCGTCGCCGTCGGTGATCAGGCCGATGAAGGTCGTGTCGTCAGCAAACTTCACGATGGTGTTGGAGCTGTGTGTGGCAGTTTTAATTTCGTCAACAAAAACTATGACGAAAAATGTTCATCAACGACCTTTTTTACATGACTAAGACGAGACGATGACGAGCTAAAAATAGATTATTGATAATAAAAACTATGACGAAATGTATATTTAGTTTTCGTTGACGAGACGAGACGGGACTAAGGTGTTAATGGTGGACTAACGGACATTCAAAATGCAGGATATTTTCCCCCAATTGTCCGTCTTGTCAAAATGCATCTTACGTTTCTAACTTGCAATATCATTATTTCCGCTCTCTTCACTCCAGAAGAGCGATCTCCCTGTCTCTCTGTGTGCGGGAGGAGGGGCCTAACAGACACGCTGCAGCGGCATGCACACAGATTTTTAAGAGTAGTAGTACCATTAAAAACCTTAACGATACCCATCCCTAGATATTACACAAATAAAGTGTTAAAAGAGTGAAATGTTGCTTTGCGAATTTCAACACTTGATACTGTCACATTAGGCGCGTTCACACCAAGTACTTTTCCCACAATAGTTCATGAGAACTTTAGTTCATGAGAGCTCTTTTAGTTCTGATGAACTAAAGCAGATCGCGTTCACACCAAAATGAGTTCCTGGGGGTGGATTAGGCAAATGAAGCCGCTGACGTCACTTCTTCTTCTTCTGCTTTGGGTTTACTGGCAGGCCGCAAACAACTTCACGGCGAGTACAGTAGGTGGCGGTATGTACCTTAAAGTTGCAATCTGCCAAAAAACAGAGAGAAGAAGAAGAAGAAAAACCTCCCGCGTATACTGCCACGCCCACCTGCTGTATATGAGGCGTCTGTTTACCTTCCGACCTCAGACATTAGCTTCGTCTGAGTTATTTAAGCAAACACAAATACAGATCGTCGACCAGTCAAATGCAATAGCAATGCTGATTCGGAGGCGACGGCGGTTAAGAAGGATTGACAAAAGGATTGGACGACGACATGCACGCGATATGGATTGCGTAACCTGTGTGAAATGAATAAACTGTGGCAGGTGTGTCGTATGCACACTAAATAGGCTCAGCAGTTAACACACCTTTATTATATATCCTCCTGAGAGCAACTGCATCCGTCTGCCATGAACCCTACAGAAACCTACGTGTTAGTTGTGGCCCATAGTGGCCTCCATTTGTGTCGTGTAAAATGGGGGAAATCAAAAGTTAGCAAATCCCCATGTCATGTTCATAAAAACATTTAGCTTTAGGTCAAATAATTATTACACTGCTCTGAAACTCACTACACTAACTCCTAAGATGTTCCCTTACTATAATTAATTAAAAATATTGAACTCACAACACTGGTAATAACAAACTTAACCATTTCTCTTTCTATAAATAAATAGTGGTTGTGTTGATGGACGCCATTTTGAAATACAATGAAATGATCTTTTTGAAAGCCACAATAAATAAAGCTTCGCCAGTTTATAACCGATGAAACATGATGGTATCAGAATAATCACTTACATGTGATGTATAGGATGCTACACAGGTCACTGTAAAGATAAAGTGTCAGAGGAGAAATAAGCAAGCTTAGTTACATGAAATGTAATGAAAAATGTAAGATACAGGCTCTGTTTAATCGCCATGTAGGTTCTCTTTTATTGCACACTCAAGACAATATCAATAACAGCATCACGCTGTCCCAGGTGTGTCGTATGCATGTAAATAGAAGTTAACATTTTCAATATAAAATAAAGTGTCAGTAGTATCAAAACATATATATATATATATATATATATATATATATATATATATATATATATATATAATAACAAAAGGTAGGCTCAGCAGCAGACACACCTTAGTGCAAAGTGAAGTGTCGGTATTAATAACAGTGGCATATATATAATCACAATAATACAAAATGAACTGTCCCAGGTGTAGGCAATTTGGGGTGAAGTGTCTTGCCCAGGAACACAACGACATGCTGACTGCAGTGGGGTTTGAACCTGTGCTCCCCTGATCCGAACACCAACGCACCAGACCACTGCACCACACGCCTCCCAACAAGTCATTGTACAGTTTATCAACGACGACAAGTTTTTCTTAATTTTTTTATTGAAGGCCTGTTGGATTTAATCAGCTCGCTTAGCACTGCCAGAAGCCCAGCCTGAAAGGTATTTTGTTGCTCCACCTGGCGCGCCGACACCTCCACCTGGCGCGCCGCAGAGTCAGCATGGCGCGGCATCACCATGAGCAGCTGGTCGTCCGATTCCTGGGCCTTGTGTGAATGCAGCAGCCGTTCGTCGTGCATCTCCTTGGCACGCAGGTCCTCATTCTCCTTGCTGACCATGGCACGGCGGTCCATCGCCATGATGGTGTCAAGGAAGCTGTCATCCCGTGCCCGCTTTCCTAAGGAGAAATAAGCAAGATACAAGATCAGTTTAATCGCCTAGTAGGTTGTCACCAGAGACAACATTGGACATGGTGCAGGCAGGGACAGTGTACAAAATGCAGGTGTAAAGTAGAAGATAAGATAGGATCAAATAATATCAAATAAAAAATAAATATCAAAGTGCCCTTATTTATTGTTTTGTGCTTAATGTATGCTTGAACTTTGTTTTATAGGGATTAGTGGACATCAGTTAGATGCGTAACCTTCTTTCAAGGCCAGAGTAGTTACAGTGTAAGTGGATTGACATCTAACATAACATGGCTGAGTACAATTATAACAATCAATAAAAAAAAGGAAAAATAAATTGAATTTCAATTACATTTTTACTTAAATGTGCAAAATATTAGAACATCAGTCTTTGTGGCATGCAGGTAATCAACTGTTTAAGCTTTTACCATTAACATGTAGAATGAATGTTGCAAATGACACATGAAATCATAGCAACTGCAATGTATTGTTAGAGGTAGCATTATGTCCAGCTAGCATGCTAATTGCTAACGTTATATTATCGTTTTATCCCGGAGGGGAAAGCTAACTATAGTTTCTAATCCAGAGAGAAACACCTCGCCTGAAACACACGATTAGTGCCATGAGTTAGTGAAGCAAATTACAGAACATTGCACACTTATTCACAAGTCAAAACTTTTTCATAGCGGGCGCGGCTGAGAATAGCTAGCTAGCTAGCTAGATGTTGTTAGCCAGCTTGAAGCTATGATAGCCAGTTCAGCTAGCATGGCTAGCTCGATCTACTGAGCAAACAGAAGTACATCTGAGACCAGTATTGTGCAGATTAAAACAGTGCAGTGCATGTAGTTGATTTTACTTTTGTCGTCGTCCCGGCATGACTTTGCGCTGTGGACGGTTCCCAGGTCGGCTAACTTTGAACAACACTCCTACATTTTGCAGTAGAAGCTTCTGGATCACGTCCTCCGAGTAAATCGCCAGAAGCGCCGACACATCCTCATCACTCCACCGCTCCGAGGATTTATTTAGTGTTGCTATAATAACTGCTTTCACAAAAGTAATCTCTTCGTTGGTGGCTGCGGCGCTGAGCTTTTAATGAGCAAATACAATGGCGGCCTTAAAAAAAAATTCAGATAGGCTACTCACGGGGCGTGGTTTGCATTCCGCACAGCCAATCACACGTATGAACTTTTTCATACGTGCTCTCGAGCAGGGACTGAAAACGGTGTAAAAATGGTTCTGATGAACTCATTTAGTTCCTGGGGCTTTTTGGTGTGAACGCAAATATATCGTAGTTCTGATGAACTATTGTCGGAAAAGTACTCCGGTGTGAACGCGCTAATTGATTCCAATTTCAGATACCTCGATTTGCCTAACTGAATTGGTTTAAAGAGAGAAAACATTTTGACTAAAAGTTGACTAAAATGTAATGATTTTTCATCGACTAAAACGTTTTGAGTTTTCGTCAACTAAAACTAGACTAAAATTATGAAGGATAAAAAGGACTAAAATGTGGGTTGTGTGGGTTAACCCTTTTAAAGGATTTACACACATCTGCCCTGTCTCAAACAAAAGGGCAGGGCTCCTGATCCTTCTCTGCCTCCACAGCCTGGCTGCTCTCGAATCGTGCAAAAAAACTGTTCAGCTCATCTGGGAGAGATGCGCACGCAGACACTCCCGCAGCACCCCCCGCTGCTCCTTTGTAGTCTGTCATTGTTCTTAGTCCCGCCCACATGTTCCGGGTGTTACAGCCTTTGAAGTCAGACTCCACCTTGTCTCTGTACTGTCTCTTTGCATTGCTGATTGCTCTCCGGAGATCATACCTAGATTTCCTGTACTCCTCCAAATCTCCACCTCTGTGCGCGATAGTGCGCTTTTCCAGCTTGGTACGCACCTCGCTGTTTATCCAGGGCTTTTGATTCGGGACTGTTCGTACAGTAACCTTCGGTACCACGTCATCGATGCATTTCCCAATGTAGCAAATGACTGTGTCCGTGTCAGTGTTGATATTGTTATCCTCAAACACACTCCACTCCATAGATTCAAAGCAGTGCTGCAGAGCTGAGTCTGACTCCTCACTCCAGCGCTGTACAGTCCGTGTCACCGGTCTGTCCCGTTTCAGTTTCTGCTTGTAAGCAGGCAGCAGCAGCAGTGAGATGTGGTCTGATTTGCCGAAGGGAGGGCGAGGGAGAGCCTTATATCCATGTCGAAAAGGGGAATAAACATGGTCCACTGTATTTCCGCCGCGCGGGCAGCTCATGTGTTGAAAGTATCTCGGCAGAACTTTCTTCATATTGGCGGTGTTAACATCCCCGGCCACAACGAACGCCGCCTCTGGCCGTGAAGTCTCCGTCCTGTCAATCACTCCAAACAGTTCGCCCAGTGCTGTTGTTGTCAGCGTGTGGCGGAATGTACACTGCTGTAATCACAACGGATGAAAATTCTCTTGGCAAATGAAAAGCCCGGCATGTGATCATGAGGTGCTCTAAATGAGCGGAACAGTCCGAAGAAATAATCTCCACATCTGTGCACCAGTCATTGTTTATCATGACACACACACCACCTCCCTTGCTTCTCTCTGAATTAGCAGTCTGATCCTGGCGAAATATAGAGAATCCGTCTGGAACAATAGCGGAGTCCGGGATAGCAGAGTTGAGCCAAGTCTCCGTGAAAATTAACATGTTACAGTTCTTAATGTCCCGTTGAAAAGCAATCCTGCTTCTGAGTTCATCTAGCTTATTTTCCATCGATTGAACATTAGCCAGAAGAATACTCTGAAGAGGGGGTCGGTTTTCACGTTTCCTCAGCCTTACTAGCAGCCCGGCCCGGGACCCTCGCTTTGTCTTCCTCCTGCGTCTCTCAGGTAGGACAGCAGCAGGCAGCCATGGCGGGTCTCCATATCTTATTCTATTTACATGTGTATGGACTCCTGCATGTACTTGGTCACTTACAACACTCTCTGCATTATTTGGCTTATTGTCATTATTTACTTTCCTGACATCACATGTATATAGTTTACTTTATCTTCACCTGCATTACTTGCACATTGGTCTGCAACATAACCTGCACTATTCTATTCTACTCTTCTTGCACTATTTTAATCATCTTTTACCTATTGTTTTATGTCCTATATATATTATGTTGCATTGTTGGAGGAGCTCTGGACTTAAGCTTTTCATTGCATATGTACACTGTAGCGGTGCATATGACAATAAAGCCCTTGAATCTTGAATCTGACACAAGATCCAGTTTTTATTCCTGTAGCTCCTGTGATTAATTTTACTCTACAGATAATTGACTTTCTTGTTGACCTAAATAAAATGAATTCTTTTTTATTCCGTGACAGATTTATTCCTGAAAACATGTCATCTTTAGGCAAAACAGTTGGTAAGATTAAGCACTATAGGCAACATTTATTAGGCACCATCCTTGTTTGCATGTCTCTAAACGGTACATATTATTTTAAAAGAAATAATAGCAATCCCATCATTTGTATTCGTGCCCGTAGTATGGGATTCCTCATCCTCACATGATGTGTTCTCTCCTCAGCTAACCTGAGCCGAGTGATTCCTCATGGCCTCCTGGTGTTCTTTCCATCCTTCTCTGTGATGGAAACAACCCTGGACTTCTGGAGAGTACGTGGGAATTCAGAAGATCCTCTCACTGTTATTATATTTTTGTTGATTTAATTGTTAGAGCTGAAATGAGTGTTTCCTTGTGAGATCATGTTCAGTGTGTGTGCCCCCCCAGGCTAACGGACATGCAGATCGCATTGAGACTGTAAAGCCCATGTTTGTTGAACCTAGAGGAAAGGGCACCTTTAATGAGGTGAGTGTGCTTTAATTAAATATTCAGAGGAGTATTTCTAGGGTTCCTCAAAGAAACCTTGAAGAAGCAGCAACTTCTCCTGAGCTGGTCCTGACAGATTTCTTTACAGGTCTGTCAGTTTGAGGGCTGATCTCTTCTCTCCTACTATTCTCAGGTTATGGACGGATATTACAACAAAGTCAATGATCCATCATCCAAAGGGGGAAGCTTTTTCGCTGTGTGTCGAGGAAAGGTGAGGCCAATGAGTCCGGAGAGCTGGAAAAGTTCTGAAATGATTTGAAAAATACAGTTTATCCTTTTAGTCTTCTAAAGGTCAGACAGAGCATTCAGATACATTCACATTATTCATAAAATACAGTGTATATTGACATAAATGTACCATGGTCTTCTACAAACTTTAAAATCGTAACCTATGGTTAATGACAATAAATCCACTTTAATAATAAACACTAGTCCTTTCATTTCTGAAAGACATATGTCAGGCACAGATTCCTATATATTGACATGGATTTATAGAGTCATTTTCATCATATCACATATAGTAAGTATACACAAACGCTTCCCTCTCACACCTAGGGTGACCAGGTGCCAACAGGCCACATGTGGGACAAAGAGTATGTTTGTGAGGGACAATTTAGGCCATGTTACTGCGATGCACAGGACTGTTTGCATAAACAATGCAAGTGAAAGACTTACATTTATCTGGTTTGAATGGATTTTTTTGATTGATGATACATTTTTTTGCAATATGTGAGTTGAATTACATTGTGTTCACCTGCATGTGTGATTGAAAAAAACGTCATTAAAAACTCTCTGGGAATCGCCCTCCAATAGTTGAATATATTTCCAAAATGTGTTGATTGATTGACATCACAGCTAATTGCCCTCTGTTGCTTTCTAAACAGCCACTGGATAAATACTCTGTTTGCCAGCTCATGGAGTCCTGTTGTGAACCTGGTTGAGGACCCTAAAGTGTTATGATAGAAATGTATAGTAGGGTCCCCACTCCCCAGCACATAGAAACTGCCGGATGCTAACCTGCATTTGTTGGGCAATTGGCATCATTTGCGGATATTATGCTATAATTAGCATTTTAGTTTATGTCGCCAATAGTAAAAAAAACATTTGAATGATTTGGACAGTTTTGGAGTGGTTTTGTTGTTATTGAGAATGCTGAATACATTCAAGGTCAACAACAACATTTCTGGGTTCACAGTGCTGGCAATGAGACTAAAAAGCCAAGTTTTAAAAGGGCAACTGTCAATCAAATTAGGGACATTGTCTCAATTTGTGGGATGTGGGGGAATTGATAAAATGCTGTGCAGTCCAGCACAAAGCAGGACACCTGGTCACCCTACGCACTCCTGTAACGCATGTCTGTAAATGTGTTCCTGTGCCAGGCGAGTGAGGGTCTGGATTTTGCAGACACCTTTGGTCGGGGTGTGGTCATCACCGGCCTTCCTTTCCCCCCGAGGATGGACCCTCGAGTCGTCCTGAAGATGCAGTTCCTGGATGAGATGTGTCGGAAGAAAGCTCCTGGGGTGAAGGTGAGTGTTAGAAAAATATTACTCGTCACCGGCTTGAATTTCAATATCAGGATACATGTATTTATTATCCTTGCGAGAATGGAAGTAGTCATCACATACAGAGGTTGCATGGGACAAATAGTTCCCAGAACAGTGTCCTTCACATGCTTATATACAAGAGAGTGTTACAGTCACAAGATGCAGAAATACCGGTTCAAAGAAGTATACAATGTGTAGTTCAGATTAGCTAAGGCCTGCGTAAGTAATAAACATGACAGTCATATTCGTACGGGTGCTGGAAATCCTTGAAAATGCTTGAAATTGAATGTGGTGTTTTCAAGGTTTGAAAAGTGCTTGGATTTTGGGAATGGTGCTTGGATTTGGGACAAAGTGCTTGAAATTGTAAATGCTTTACTTTTGCAATAAATTGCTGTCTGAATGAATTTTGATCTGACCGCGGCCGTGCTGATATTATAACGCCAGAGAATTTCCACACCTTTAGTGTATAAAACTCCCCCACTACTTAGACTATTCCTTGCACCCCTCTTCTATAAGCCCGAATGGTCTCAACCATATTGCATCAGTAACGTGCACTTGTTGTTACAGCAGGATCAGTTTGTGTGTTGTGGACACGACCCGTATATTTTCGCAATCCGTGTTCTCAACATTTTGCATTTAGCTTATTATTTAATTGAATTTGCTTACTTTAACATCACTTTTCATGGTAGGGCTAAGGTGGGGCTAAGCCATTTCTTGGTATGGCTGTAGCCTACCCCAGCCATACCCTGGCGCCGCCACTGTGTATAAGACAGGTGTCTTGAGTAGTCAACATTACCTATCTATTTTATGCAGCTCTGTGATTTTGTGGCTACAATTCAGGCTAATACGCTACCAGCTATAGCTAAATATTAAACTTAGTTTTCTTTTCTTTAATTTTTCATTCTCATGTAGAATGCTATCACAAAACACACATTTGGTTGTTTATAGCATAATATGCGTATCTCCATAGAGGCTGAATCATGTTAATCACACAGCTATCATATGCCTAAAACAGTCCTGATGCTCTTCTAGGTAATCATACATCCTGTCATGTACACAGCTACGTAGGGCCTTTGTTATCATGTGTACTCTGATATTAGAAGAGTACATTGAGTTTCACTGAAGTGTGTGTGTGTGTGTGTGTGTGTGTGTGTGTGTGTGTGTGTGTGTGTGTGTGTGTGTGTGTGTGTGTGTGTGTGTGTGTGTGTGTGTGTGTGTGTGTGTGTGTGTGTGTGTGTGTGTGTGTGTGTGTGTGTGTGTGTGTGTGTGTGTGTGTGTGTGTGTGTGTGTGTGTGTGTGTGTGTGTGTGTGTGTGTGTGTGTGTGTGTGTGTGTGTGTGTGTGTGTGTGTGTGGTGTGTGTGTGTGTGTGTGTGTGTGTGTGTGTGTGTGTGTGTGTGTGTGTGTGTGTGTGTGTGTGTGTGTGTGTGTGTGGTTGTGTGTGTGTGTGTGTGTGTGTTGTGTGTTGTGTGTGTGTGTGTGTGTGTGTGTGTGTCAGTACCTGTCTGGGCAGGAGTGGTACAGCCAGCAGGCTTTCAGAGCTGTGAACCAGGCCATTGGCAGAGTCATTCGCCACAAGGACGACTACGGAGCCATCCTGCTGTGTGATCAGAGGTCAGACACACATCACTTAACACAGCCGATCTGTACACCTAAAACATAAATTTAGTTGATTGATCAAAAGAAAAAGAAATCTGCAGATCAAGAAATATTTTGTAAAAATGCCAAACATTAACTAGTTTGCTCTTTTCTGTTGTGATGGTTTCCTGCTTTCCCTGTACACTACATATGTTGGTTTTCCGCTGTTGGTCAGACCCTAACCCAAACAGAGGGTCAACAATTCAGCCACAGTTTTTAAAATAATAATTGCTTTATTATATTGTTTTAAATATTTGGCATGGCAGGCACTGTCTAGTAATTGGATATATATTGAATTATAGTGGACACTAGGAGGCCAGACAGCAGATATATCAGCTGTCGGAAGTCCATCGGTGCAGCTGCCAGATCCACAGAGTCCTGCGGTCTCATACATTATTGATGCTACAGTACTATGATGTCACCAATGTTTCACTTACAGTGAGAAGCAGTATAGAGACAAACCCCATAACTATAACGCTCATGGTTCATGACAGAGGTGTAAACAATGAAATAAATCATCGCTGACTTCTATTCAGCTGCTTCACTTTCACGATCCTGGTTTAGACCCCTCTCATAGACATTTAGTAGAAATCCTAGCTGGATTGTAACCGAGCCCATGTTTGGTGTGAGGGACATGATATAGAATAACTTGACTTTCCCCACAGGTTTAAAAGCTCTAATGCACGGGCCCAGCTTCCCTCCTGGGTCAGGCCTTACGTGCGTGTGTACAGCAGCTTTGGGAATGTGATCCGAGACCTGTCCCAGTTCTTCAGGGTGGCCCAGAAACTGGTAGGTTTCTCAGTCTTCAGTTAACAAGGATGCTACCGTTGCTTGCATTGACTTTGTTTGTTGGTCTTACATTTAAAAGCTTTGTGATGTCTGATGTGAGTGCAGTACACTGTAACTCACTAACTTCTGTTTGTATTTAGGGGGTGAAAGCATAAACAATATGTACTTATATATTCATAAAGAATAATAGCAATGTGTGTTTCCAGAAATCATGATATTGTAGGTAAAATCCTCAAATACAAATCCATGTCCAACTCGTGTCTCAAATCTCAAATCCTGCTGTAGGAAAAGAGTCAGGTCTTCATACTGCAGCTCTTTAAATTCTGTTGCTATAGCAACCACAGCGAAAATGCATCAGCGCAGTAGTGATCAATTATATACTACTGCAACAGGAGATTACTCGTAAAGTAGAATCTCAAAGTTGACTTTTCATACCCAAGCTTAATGGACAACTCACATTATTATTACAATATCCACCCCCCACCCCCCTTAATTTTGGTCTCAATAATACAGCTGTAAAGTTGTGTGCGTCTTGTATGGTTGCAAAGCTGTCACACTCGAAGATGTGTCCACAGACACACAAAAACATACTAACCCCAGAGTCACAAGGTGAAAGCAGTACCTGTGTGGCTGTCATGTCTCATCATCATAACTTTTATGCTCTTAACCTTTTATTTTTATTTTTTATATTACCATATTTGATTCAATATGCTCCTTTTAGATATCTTTTTATTTTATTTATTTTATTCTTTTCTCCTTATAGCTTTGTGAAGCACCTTGAGATGACGTTGTCTTTAAAGTGTGCTATATAAATCAAATGTATTATTATTATTATTATTATTATTAATAATCATTCCACGTAGATAGACTCTACCCCACTGCCACTGTGTGATATCACAGCACATGTATATACGCACTCTGAGTGGAGTCCAATGCAGTTTGTCAGCTTATATTGACTGTCTGTGTTTGACTGTGCCAGAGGCCTGTGGCAGAGAAGAAGGGTGCAGCAGAGAGCTGTGAGGCAGTGTGTCTATCAGCCCCTCTGTCCTCCTGCTCCACTTCCTGCTCACCATCCCAAAGCTCCATCACCCAGAAGGCCAAGGTGCTGGACGCCCACCTCCCCAGCCTGAAGAGGAGGAGACTGAGTGAGTACAGAGATAAAGGCAGAGCTGCTTTAAACCCCCAGTGGAAGGGTGAGTCCTTCACTGAGCTGATACTCCTCTGGCGTCTGCTCTCTGATCAGATGACCACTCTGGAGCCGCTGGGATGGCCAGGATCTGTGTGGAGTATGAGTGTGAGCTGCAGGAGAGTCAGAGGAGGCCCGCCAACCTGCTGGATGCTCTGGAGCGGGGGGACCACCACAGTGGGGAGGACGAGGGTGCTGCTGTGGGAGAAGAGAAGGTACTGTACTGCTCTGTGCATTTACAGAGAGACGCTTTGTGCAAAAATCAAGACCTGATGAAAGCCAGATATAATTCATGTGTGGTACAATCAGTGTTGGGGGTAATGTGCTACAAGTAATGCAGATTACATTTTTGTCTGTAACATTTTAATGTAACATGGTCCTGTTGACAACAGCAGTAATCACATTACAGTTACTTAGCACGAAATGATCTCGTTGCTCGCGTTACTTTAAGGCAGGTGTGTCCAAACTGTGGCCCTGGGTCCATTTTAATTGGCCCTCAGCTAATTCTAAAAGTATAATGGAATATGACCCACACATGAAACTTGTGCTTGAGTTATAATGTACCTCTTAAATATATATCTAAACATATATTACACAGTATTCATGTGTTAATAAGCATCGGGGAGGAAATGTTGCCTGTTTCCACGGTGGAATCGCCATCTTTCCAAAACATGTTGAGTAAGATACAGGTAACTGGCGGGCGCCATCAGACAGGAAGACTTGAAGCTACCTGTATGAAGGTAGATATGGTGCAAAATGCGAGAGCTTGAGTGCATACATTTACACTTGTATAAAATATCCACGTATCTGTGAACCACATTTGAAGTCACAGAAGAAAAAAAAAAGTTTTGTAGCTTGTAGAAAAAAAATGAACTTAGTGATGAAATGTTTACTTGCAGAAAAATATATATTTTTAAAATATATTTTCCATTACAACTGCAACTTGGTTATTACAACCTCTCAAATCAGTCATTACAACTTCACGAATCTGCTCTGTGGCAGTATAAATCGACGAATCTGCGGCCTTGATTTTTGCTACTCTTGCGATGAATGTGTCGCTAAAGTGTGTGGTTGCGTTCTAGTCACTTTGCTCAGCGCTACTGCTTGTTTCAACTTGTATTTGCCGTAAGCCTACTTTCCATAAACTGTTAGCTCAGGTTAATCTCACATTTTTTCGAGCTTGGTAAGAACCGGTTTTCGGGGAAAAGAGCCGTTTCCGCTGCGGCGTGAACAGGAAAACCCGGTGCTTATCAGGCTGAAGCTCCAAACCGGCCCTGGAACCGCGTTGGTGTGGAAGGGGCAACAGGCCCCGCAGTCATCCGGTTCGACCTGACTATGGCTGTGTGACTGACCCGAGCTTGCGCCTCGTCGTTCTGATAGCTCCGCCCCTTCCGCCCCCCCACATCTACAGGTGAAAATTACTTTAGTGACACATTCATCGCAAGAAGTGTAGCAAAAGTCAAGGCCGCAGATTCCATGGGAGCCTGCCTGCAGGCGCCAGTCTCAGGACACCTCCACTCTCAGGACAGGAAGTGAATGCACGCAAATACAAAATAAAATCGTACTGACACTTATAACATATATATTTATATATATATATGTATATAAATATATATAAATATATAAATAGGGACACTCTCAGTACAGCACCACTTTCCGAACAGGAAATGCACGCTAATACAAAATAAAATCGCTTATTATATCTATATATATAGATATGTATATATATAAATAACGACATCTTGTATTTTAGTTACACCCGCTACACAACAGTGGAGGGTTCGAGAAACAACCGTGTTTGCCGGGTGCACCGCGGCGGAGGTGGGGAGGTTCCAGCCGGGAACCTCCACCCCGCTGCGGGACCCGTGGTGGGACCCCTGAGTCACGCTTCATATCGGCCGGCCTGGGAAGGAAGAGACACGCAGAGTGGGGGAAGTCCCCCACCCCAACACAGCACACCCTCCCAGCCATCAGAGTCGAACCCGCAGTTCGGAGGAACCGACCGCCAGAGCACCGGCACTAGGCCGGGCCTGTGGAGGCCGGGCCGGTGGAGGCCCTCCGATGGTGGGTCGCGTTTGCCATTCGATCAGTGAGAGGAGAGGAGAAAAATGCAACAAAAATTGTCAAAATCCGTTAATATATGGATGAGTGGGGTGGGGAAACGGCTGGACACAGGCCGTGGGGGGACACCCGAGACCGGTAGAAGGAACCGGGTGAAATAGCCAAAAAAATAAAAATGAATAAAACCGGGGAAAAGTGAAAAAAAATAGGCACTCGTGAGGCAGGCAGAGTCCCCTGTCAACTCCCGTTACATTCCTCCATTTGAGCGAAAAATGGCTAAGTCAACTTTTACGAGAACCAGGCTGGGGGGGTCAAAAGGGCTTGACCAAGGCCGACCCAAAGTGCATGGTGAGCGGACTCATCGGAGTCTCCATTGTGATTTGAAAACTTCCATCAGACGAGTCCTTCGGGGGGCGGGGAAAAAAACGTGTTCGTCAGAATCGTCACTTCCTGTACTGAGAGTGGAGGTGTCCTGAGAGTGGAGCCTACACCGGAACTGTCCTGAGAGTGGAGGCCTGCAGGCAGACCCCTCTCGCAGATTCGTCGATTTATACTGCCACAGAGCAGATTAGTGAAGTTGTAATGACTGATTTGAGAGGTTGTAATAACCAAGTTGCAGTTGTAATGGAAAATATATTTTAAAAATATATATTTTTCTGCAAGTGAACATTTCATCAATAAGTTCATTTTTTTTCTACAAGCTACAAAACTTTTTTTTTTCTTCTGTGACTTCAAATTTGGTTCACAGATACGTGGATATTTTATACAAGTGTAAATGTATGCACACAAGCTCATATTTCTTTTTCTGCAAGTGCTCACATCAGGTTTTACAAGCTCTCGCATTTTGCACCATATCTACCTTCAAATACCTGGACCAGTGTTATGATGACACTGAGCTACAGAAAACATGGCTGGTGTTCAGACAAAGAGCAGAAACAGAGGTCTGTGTTCAGTATTGTCCTGATTAGATTAGGGTTTGTGCTGATCTGGCATAAATGAGGTTTAACTTTATATTGTTATTTGTCTATGATTTATAGTGCCTCTCAGGTGATGCTACAGAGTAGACAAAAGTAATGTTACTAGTAGTGTAACTAATTACTTCAGCAGTGAGTAATTTAGTAAAGTAAGGTAAAGTACTTTTTTTTTTTAAGTAACTAGTAATGTGTAATGCATTACTTTTTTTGATAACTACCCCAACACTGGGTACAATTCCATTCTACTGTCTAAAATAGCACGTGTGTGAAATGGATCCCATTTTTCGGAGGAATATACTCATTTGTTGAAATTATCTTTTTTTCCTTTTAAGGCAAACCATTTGTCCACACTGTCTCTGCAGTGTGACAAGAGGATGGACGATGAAATGCGGGGAGGAAAACGTAAAATCAAACTTGTCCAGCAACAGGTGGAGTACATTTCAAAGGCATCGGTTTCAGGTGCTCCTTTCTCCATGCTTCACACCACTCATCATGATCTCTGTTGGATCTGTAGGGCCACAGTGTTGCTGTGCACTCAGAGATCCACACCCAGTACACAGCCATGTCCTTTGGGATGCAGTAACACACATACAGCACGGTGAAGTCACTGGTACAGACAGTTGCACTTTGTAAAACTAACAGTCTACACGTTAATATTACATCTGTTGTAGACAAGGGTAGTTAAAGGGCATTTTGTTGCTTCACCACTGAAACATTGTATATATATGTTATTATTTATTTTGACTTTTTATCACCAATGACATGTAGTGCTAATTCAAAAAGCAGGACAGTCTGAGAAAAGCACAACTACAGTAGCTGCGGTGCGCCTTTTGTAGACTAGGGGTTATAAATTGAATTAAAAAAATGTATTTTACAATAAAAGTGTTAATATTACTTGAATCAACACTGACAGAGCATACTTAATAAACCAGAGGGGGACCGTTACACTTCCATGACAATCTGACCTAAATGGGAAATAGACATGCATCAAACTCCAGCCAACAGCATCCCTGACAGCCACTACGGGGCGTCTCTGTGCCTTTTCTTTCACAAAGTAGAACACTTCTCTCTGCCATTATGTTAGCGTTAATGGAAATGAGAGTGTGTCTGTGTGGGGGTCACGTTACACGTTTATCCTCAACCAACAGGGCAGGTTGCCCCAAGGGCCAAAAAGGTGAGCTGCCTTTCAAATGAAGACGTCTGTGTCCGGCCATTCTGAACTTCAACTGTCCCCCAAGGTGTTGATCAAACCTTGGGCAAACACATTTAACCACAACTTCACTTATTGTACATTGGAAAATACCTTAGCAAAAATGGCTAGCTTGACACTACACATTTATGAATTATGAATTATGAATTCTATATTATTATTTTGGAATTTGGTTTCAGTGTATTTAATCTAAAATGAAATGTTATATTTTATAGTACCTGGTAGTGTTCAGGACATAAGCTCATTATAAATATGCTGGAGAGATATTTGGCTCGATTTGTATTACTATATTAAAAAGGATTTTCAGTGAACATTGCAGGTGTGAACAGTGAGTTTTTCTCCCTCTTGTAGAAGAAGTCGCAGGTGTCGGAGGTGGTCTCTGGGGAGGGGACCTCCAGCAGGGTGAAGGGTTTCCTGGCAGAGATGAAGAAGTCTCTGAGCCAGTGCAACTTTGAGCAGATCGTTCAGACTCTGCAGACCTACAAGAAGACTGACGACCTGGATGTGCTGCTGACGGACACAGCGGTGCTGACGGAGGACGCCAACACCTACAGCCTGCTCCGCGGTAACACTTCTGATACTGCATGCACTGCATTTCAGACTAATGTTAATCTTATTCAAGAGTAAAGCCTCAAATTGGATAAACCCTAACCCTTAATTATGTCATCAAGTGACACAAAAACATCAAGATCTATTATAGGGAATGGGAACCGTGGTGCATTCTGGGGCGTCGCGGCCATCTGAGGAGGATAGCGTCTATAAATACAGCAGCAGCGTCAAATATATCAGCGGTTTCCATCCGAAATGAATAAAGAATGTGTGAAATATAAATGCCCTTACTCAGAGAAGCTGTATGCAGGAACAGAGGAGTGTTATTCAAAAAGAAAAATTAATTATTGACATCTACCTGATAACGGTTACTGATGCCGGTCCTCTCTGGTGTTTGAAGTTAGCAGTGTTCCCAGTGTAGTGCTTTATGTTCCTGTAGTAAACACATTCAGCGTCTCTTGCTGATGTTTGTTACGTCTTCCTCGTCTCCCTGTTAGTTTAAAAGAATAAAATGAAATCCCATTGTCATTTTACGTTTGTTTTTTGGTGAAAGGCGTGGCAGTGCCAGCTACATAACAGGGCCTACCGAATGTTTAAAACGTTTTAAAGTGAAAAAGTTGCGGCTTCTCCGCTGTCCAGGTTAAGTGGAAAGATTGTGGTTGCTAGTATCCTCCAAAGATGGCAGAGTTAACACATTCCCATTCCCTATTGCACAGAATAATATGAATATATGGAGTGTCTGCCATGTTGATGTGTGTCTCTCAGGCCTGTACCAGTTCATCCGGCCCCATCACAAGCAGAGGTTTGACGAGCGGTGCAGGGAACTGACGGCGGGGGGCTGCGGCTACGAGCCCAGCCACTCTCTGTCTGTGGAGGAGAAGAAGGCCCTGCTGAACAGCGGTACAACACTGCACGCTGCATATTTACTAAATGTGTTTGACATATTCTCACATTTCATGAACATTAAATGTCTTTTTTTTATTCATGTTTTAGTCAACAAAGTTTTAAAATGTTTTGGGTATTTTTGCTTTCAAATGTAAATCAAATTAAAAACGTTTCTGCAATAATTCATATATAGATGGCTAAATTATGAATGATTCTTGTAGACAGAGCGATACCATAATACTTTATTGTCAGATCGAGTCGGACATTTTCCTTGTATCCATTTGCAACATCAACAAGGACACATACTAAGACAAGATACACAGATACAGACATTTAACCAAACATCACGATCACTGAAGAGAACATGTTCAAGACCCTCTGACGCACATTAGATCTGGGATTACCTCTGTGATTGATTTTAGGATGACTGGTGCACAAAAGAGAGCTTCAGTCTGACCTTATTCAAATGTGGGACTCGGATGTGATGGTAACAATTCATACTCACTGTACAGGACATGGTTGGGTCAGAGATGATGTTAATATGTTGTTATGGTGGGCTGGTTATTAAAATCTCTCACAGGGTTGACCTACAATCTTTGAGCAGATTAACTGGTGGAGCAGTTTGGACTTTAAAGCGGGAGACAAACACTTGTACCAGCTAGTATTGCAGTGCTGTAGAACACTCACAATCACAGATGTAAAGAACAACAAGAGTTTGTCTAATAAGACCAGAAAGACCTAAGGCGCAGGAGAAAATAAATGATTTGTTTTGTCCTTTTGCAGATATATTCCATTTGGTCTTTTCATGACAGAAGAGTACACTGGCAGTAGGAAAGGAGGGCTTATCTGTGTTTGTGTGTTCTCACAGCTGCAATCAGACGGCCTGCTGTGGGTGTGAAACCCCCCCCCTCCCCCTCCACCTCCACCTGCAGTCAGCTGAACACAGAGCAGCTCAACAAGGGAGGACTCCACCTGAGCCAGAGGCCTCACACTGGTATGACATCACACCCTCTACCTGTAGAGTTCACTAGGCGAGTGTGGGTGTGCAGTGAATTTAACACCACATTATTAAGTTCTTCAAGTTCACATTGCCTTATTTTTGCTCTCAAAGTTCACAAGGCCAGCATGTTATAGTCATTACTCAAAAGACAAACGGAGCATGAGTTATCATGAGTTTATGTAGAGTAAATATTTGTGGTGTTTGTGGAAGAGAGGAATCAGCTCCATGGTAACACTGACTAATGTGCTCCATTTAAACAAGGGCAAAGAGATTCACTCCATGTTCTGGGAGAATATTTTATTTTCAATAGCTAAAAAAGACAACTTGTTTAGCTGGGAAAACATTATTAAACATGCAAATGCTTACCTTCTGTACAAGTGTATACACTGACTTCACCTCCACTCAGACTGCAGATAGGTTAACAAGAGGTGCAGCGAGAGGAGGTGCATTATTCCACTCCGGAAAAGTTATTTAAGTCAGTCTGCATTTTCAGCTGCACAACAATGGAACTCAATCCCAGGTAAACATTTAGAACAAAACACATTCGGTTTATTGAAATCCCATTTAAAAACATGGTTAGTGAGCAATCAGCTCTGTCAACACTGAAAATCTTCTTGCTATTTAATATGTATGTTTTGTTGCATTGTTTTTTATTAGCATTTCCAGTATAGTAAGCCTCTATGTTGCATGTTTTACTGATTGTATTTACAAGTTCTTCTTGACTGACAGAGAAGGTGGTGCAGCTTCTGTCCTATAGTTAGACACATTGTGGCCCCCCGAGGGGGTGCTAACTGTCCAGTCGTATTTAATCATTACTATCAGTGCTAATACTAAGCTATAGGACACACAAACATGTGGCTTTAAATGGTGACTGTATTGAAGTTTTAATGTAAATGTATTGAAGTTTTAATGTAAATGATATAAATATCTATGGACGGTTATTGATGAAAAACTGAACAATAGCACTGAAGGATAATACTGTTCATCCTGCAGCTTCAACAGGTCTGTACAGTGTTGTGTCAAAGAAAAGGTCCACGCTCAGGCTACAATCTGACCACGGACCTCTTGAAGAACATTTTTAGGCCACACGGGACCGTTTGCGTTTATGCACAGTATGCGTATTCAAAAAAGTCTTCCGTTCACATGCATTCGTTTCATTTAACGTGTCTGTTCAAACGAGGCCGCTGGAAACGCTGTAGTACATATGCCGGGGCTGTAAGTGGCGCTGTAACTTCCGCCAAAATACACCAAAAGCCGCGAAGAAGAGCAGCCCGAGCAGCCCCGCCGCAATGTTGCCATGGCTACCCTTCTGTTTAAGCCCTGCGGTGTATTTAGCAACATGTAGTTCATGTAATTCTCCATGTCCACTTGTTGCTGATGGTTGTGGTAGAGGAGCTGTAGATTTTGCACTAATATCTGTAGCATGGTCAGTAGCAGTAGCACTAGCAGTAGCTACTGACAGGAGGAAGTGTGTGTGGCGATTGCTGGTATTCAGCGGGATATAGTCATTTCCTCAGCATGTAAATATATGGATAAATGCAACGGGGAAGTTAACTGAAAGAAACCGAATCTGTGGATATTGCATCGACCGACCAAGAAGCACGTCTCCGTGGAGAGGACGCGCTCAGAAAGAGAGATATTCTCTACAAACACCGGGTGAGATCCTCCTTTGTCAATATAATGGATCAATGCATGAAATCTGACTCTGTTTATTTTGTTTAAGGAGTATATTGGGCGTTAACAATTCTGGTTTGCCTTTTATAATATTATTTCATTCAAGAACCCCTTGTGCGTTTAATTAACACAGCTATTTTTGATAGTTGCTACAGCAGTGAGCAGGAGAGGTGGGGCTATCGCTATTTTTTCAGGAAATATTCGTATAGAGGTGATTACACGGACTCGGTTGACCCCCCAGAGCGTTTCGTTTGCAAATCTATCCACCTTGGGACCCGTTATCGTTTGTGGGGTCAGTTTCTATCGGCCTTGTGTAAATAATAGGGCTATACGCACGCGAAACTATGCAGATACAAGCAGTTTTCTCCTCGTGTAAACGGCGCCTGAATCTTCAGCTGTTCTGTAGCATTAGATCGGGGGTGGGGAACCTTTTTCCTCTCAAGGGCCATTTCAATTTTTTCAACATCCTCCGAGTGCCGTACAAATGATTGACCTCTGCTTAAAAATACTGAAATCACAGCCCATTCATTTCACCTTTCTTTCATGCTGTGCAAAGAAAAAGCAACCTCTTAATCCAGATATCTTTCCATGACTCGCGCATGCATGCACGTGCACGGTTGTGGCATGGCCACCCAAACAGAAAGATATGGACACAAGATGTGTGCAAATGTATTTAGTTTCCTATCCATGTGAACATGATTTAAGTGGGGGGGGGACCTAACCTCCTCTAGGGGGGTCCGGGAGCATGCTTTAAATGTTGAAGTTAAAAGCATCAATCTGGTGCACTTTGAGAGCAACATTAGGAGATCTATGGATACATCTCAACACCCATATGAAACAGAACCATCCATCCATCCATCTTCTCCCGCTTATCCGTGGTCGGGTCACGGAGGTAGCAGTTCCAGCAGAGAGCCCCAAACGTTCCTTGCCCTGGCCACATCAACCAGCTCTGACTGGGGGATCCCAAGGCGCTCCCAGGCCAGCGAAGAGATATAATCCCTCCACCTGGTCCTAGGTCTACCCCTCGGTCTCTTCCCAGCTGGACGTGCCTGGAACACCTCCCTAGGGAGGCGCCCAGGTGGCATCCTTACTAGGTGCCCGAACCACCTCAACTGGCTCCTTTCGACGCGAAGGAGGAGCGGTTCAACTCCGAGTCCCTCCCGGATGACTGAACTTCTCACCTTATCCCTAAGGGAGACGCCAGCCACCCTGCGGAGAAAACCCATCTCGGCCGCTTGTATCCGCGATCTCGTTCTTTCGGTCATGAGCCATCCTTCATGACCATAGGTGAGGGTAGGAACGAAAATGGCCCGGAAGACAGAGAGCTTTGCCTTCTGGCTCAGCTCTCTTTTCGTCACAACGGTGCGGTAAAGCGACTGCAGTACCGCTCCCGCTGCTCCGATTCTCCGGCCCATCTCACGCTCCATTGTTCCCTCACTCGAGAACAAGACCCCGAGATACTTGAACTCCTTCACTTGGGGTAAGGACTCATTCCGTACTTGGAGTGGACAGTCCATCGGTTTCCTGCTGAGAACCATGGCCTCAGATATGGAGGTGCTGATCCTCATTCCAGCCGCTTCACACTCGGTTGCGAACCGATCCAGTGAGAGCTGAAGGTCGCAGACCGATGAAGCCATTGGAACCACATCATCTGCAAAAAGCAGTGGTGCAATCCTTAGTCCACCGAACTGCAGACCCCCTCCCCCACGACTACACCTCGAAATTCATCGATGAATATTACAAACCGGATTGGGGACAAAGCACAGCCCTGGCGGAGGCCAACCCTCACCGGATATGGGTCCGACTTACTGCCGAGGACCCGGACACAGCTCTCGCTTTGGGAGTACAGAGATTGGATGGCCCTGAGTAGAGACCCCCTCACCCCATACTCCTGCAGCACCTCCCACAGTAACTCCCTGGGAACCCGGTCATACGCCTTCTCCAAGTCTACAAAACACATGTAGACCGGAGAAGCATACTTCCAGGCCCCCTCCAGGATCCTTGCGAGAGTAAAAAGCTGATCCGTCGTTCCACGACCAGGACGGAATCCGCATTGTTCCTCCTCAATCTGAGGTTCGACAATCGGCCTGACCCTCCTTTCGAGTTCCTTAAAGTAAACTTTCCCGGGGAGGCTGAGTAGTGTGATGCCTCTGTGATTGGCACACACCCTCTGATCCCCTTTTTTGAAAAGGGGAACCACCACCCCGGTCTGCCACTCCTTCGGTACTGTTTCCGACTTCCACGCAAAGTTGATGAGACGTGTCAACCATGACAGTCCCTCAACACCCAGAGCCTTCAACATTTCTGGGCGGATCTCATCCACCCCCGGGGCTTTGCCACTGTGGAGTGGCAAAGCCTTAAAAATACTAAAATCACAGCCCATTAATTTGGCCTTTCTTTCATGCTGTGCAAAGAAAAAGCAACCTCATAATCCAGATATCTTACCATGACTCGCGCATGCATGCACGTGCACGGTTGTGGCATGACCACCAAAACAGAAAGATATGGACACACGATGTGTGCAAATGTATTTAGTTTCCTATTCATGTGGACATGATTTAAGTGGGGGGGGGGGGGACCTATCCTCCTCTAGGGGGGTCCGGGGTGCATGCTCGTCCGGAAAGATTTTTTTAAAATGTTGAAGTTAAAAGCATCAATCTGGTGCACTTTGAGAGCAACATTAAGAGATCTATGGATACATCTCTCAACATCCATATGAAACAGAACTGTAAACAGATTTTCTTTTCCTCTATGGATATTTTACAAATCACTCTCCTTTTAAACTTTATTCTTGTTTATTAATAACAACTTTTCTTTACTGTCATATAGTATTTTATACCTGTTTACTTTATTCTCTTATTTTTATTATAACTATAATGATCATATAAAGATGTGCCTTTACCTCACTGGTTGTAGAAAAAGCTTCTTATATTCGTTAGCATAGCTAGCTAACCAGATGCTAATAACAACAAAGTTATTGACTGTCTGATCAGTATGACAGATGAACAGATCGCCACTGGGCTTTCAACTAAAGACACAGCCACGCAAAAACTGCGGCATGTGTACGGCTCCTTATGGGTACTGCAATTTGTGGAAGTGCCGGAGCGACGTTCTGGTGCTCTCCGTCAGAACTGCACCCCTGTCAGACGAGACATATACCACGTGATGACACGTTAGGCTCGTGTTGTGTTCAAGGACCCTGACCTTTTTTGTTTACCCTGGCCAAGGCCAGGAAAAACAGGCACTCGCTTGTTTAATTCTTTTGCGGTCTAGATTTCTTACATTTTTTTATTTTTTGCGTGTGTTTATAAATTACCTCGCGGGCCGTATACAGTACGGCCCGGGAGGTTCCCCACCCCTGCATTAGAGTCTCATCAGGTTCACTAAATGCACTGCAGACATTCAGAGTTTTATGCATAGAGTTTTATTCTTAAAATAATTATTTAAAAAAACAGAGCCAGTGTCTGGACGACCTGACCAAAGATGTGAATGTGCTTTCTCCTTTTATAGTGAAACAGTCCTAACCCCTGCTGTTCTATCTTCAAACTCTAATCCCAATTTTTTGACAACTTTTCTACTGACTTCAGTGTTTTCTAACAAGGGCTGAATGCCCTCCAGCTGCTCCTACCCCTTTGTTGTTTTTGTCTAATACTTGGGCGAACGCTCTACAACTACTCCTACCATTTTTTGTTTCGGGACCCCCTTTCCATTCAGTTAACAGCCTTCAACCATGCGCCTTCTGTCCTTGCATGACCCCTCCCACACACACACACACACACACACACACACACACACACACACACACACACACATTTGAATACTTTATTTGGTTCCACAAATTATATTACATAGACAGGGAATCAAATATATCAGGGCTAAGCAGCACAGAACACTTAAAGCTCCCATGTCATGCTTTTCCGGTTATTACCCGTCCCCTTGTGTGTTATGAAGGTTTTTATGCATGTTAACGGTGTGCAGAGTCAAAACCCTCAAAGTACACCCTGTAGCGAGTAAAACTCTAACACAGAAAATACCTCCCCAAAACGCCTCGTTGGAGATACGTCACTGCCCATTTGAGTCTTCCATTTAGTTCCGGGTACCGCCTGATGTCATGCGGTACCCGGAACGAAATGGACCAATCCCGAAGAGCTATGGCCACACCAGCAGCGGCGTGTTCCTCCTCCAGAGGTTCGAAGAACCGGCATTTCACAGACGAAAGCTTCCAAAAACATTGCCCAGTTTGAGGCCGGATATGCACAGCTTGTTTGGACCGTTTGGAGCAGGGGAAGATCTGGGTATACAACCTGTAAGTTTGCATTGTTATTTGTGTATTTATCAAACAAGACTGTTTAAATGTGTAAACTGTGTTGGACTGCTAAGCCATTGACACAGTGCTAACTGTGCTAACTAAGTTGCTAGAGTTTCCATATATCAACTCTAATATCAGCAGATGGCCTTGCATACATGTATCTCATAGCAGGAGAATGTCTGCATTCACACACACGGAATACTCATACAGTATACTGTACTGTGATTTACCGTACATTGTGACCGTACATATACTGCATGTAGCTAACGAGGCTAGCTGTATGCTAGCGCAAAACAATGTATTCATGCAAGTTACATTGTATGGTAGCAGAATACCCGTATACGATTGCAATTATAAACACGTTATTGCTAGCCTAATATGAACCACTAGCTTTTGTTCATAGTAGTTTTATTACACTGCATTATAGTTGCCTTTCCTCCAAGCTAACGTTCATATCGTGTTAGCTACCAAGGTAAACAAAGCTAGGTTAGCATATTAGCAGGCAAGCTGTTCATTACACAACTACTACTAACGAATGTAAAACAACTAAGTTTCTCTAATATTTTGTGATTTGCATTTGATTTCGTCCAGCCAGATCCTGGCGGACAATCCATGACGTGCTAAAAGGCACTTCTACTACTACTGAGGCGTCGTGCTAAAAGGCACCGCACCGACTGTGCGCAGGCAAGATGCAAGGAGGAGGAATGGATGATATACCGTGTATATATGTATATTTATGTTCATTTTGTACATTTCTAAAAATAAAGTTTAATGGAAATACTTATTAGGCCTATCCTTTCTTCCCTGAATTCATATATAGCAAACCATGATTTGATTTCTCATCAAACAGTAGTAGTTTATAACGGGTAAAAATAACTTACTCTTTGTTATGAGCGGCTCGTAGGCCACAAAGACAAGGAGACATACACGAGTTTACAAAACCACGGCACATTTATTGTGGTAAATGCAGATAGGTGGTTGAGAGGATCGCAGAGTTAGTCTTCCTGCAGCCGCTTTGGAGAGAGACTGGGGCCGTAGTGTCCGGAGGTGTCCGTGATCGTGCTGATTAGCCTCTTCAGCTCCACCCCATCGTAAGACAAAGGCCCTGGGGCCGTCACACTCTTCTATAACAACAGTTAAAAATATATATGTATATAAAATATACGGCTGTGCTGACGCCATGATAAGACTGATGTTACGCTGAGAGCAGCCGGGAAAAGCACTGACATGGGCGCAGCCTCTCTGGTGGTTGACTAATCAGAACGAGTGGCCGAGCTGACCAATCGGAGCACACTCGGCTCACAGGGAGGGGGGGGCAAGAGCTCCAATGAGTCGTTTAGTGGAGAAAGTGAATACTGCTGAATACACATGCTTGACAGAGATGCTGTATGCGAAACCAATGTGAGTTTGGAAAATTGCACAGTATAAATCTATTTTAGTATACCTCAACAATGTAATTATGATCAGTGGAAATGGCCATGACATGGGCCCTTTAAGGGAACACATAGCACCTCCTTCTCCACACGGCCAAGCTGCCAATAATAGCTGAGACAGAGGAATATTTGGCAATTTGTTTCGCTTTTCTCTTTGACATTCCAGCAATTCTCAGACCAATCATGGTGCATTTATATACATAGCCAAGACTTCCGAATATGAGTATACTATATCTACACTTGTACCCAAAGCTGGTTATCACATCGAGCAGTGGTTGGTATTTGATATACTTGTCCTGGAAAGCCTGGTCCATGTACAGGTCAAAGGCACAGCCTACTTCTAAGATTAGCACCTCCTTGTGGTTGGTGTCAACAAAAACTACATCAGGTGTATTTGGGATGTTAGCAAAGACATCATTGGTAAAACCAAACCATTCTGGTAGCACTCTAGTGTGCTTGTACATTGCTGCACTAGATGGTAAGATGTTTTGTACCGCATCAGACACAATGTCCACAATACGGTCATGATGAGCTATGTACAGGCGTTTTTTATGCATTACATCCATTTGTTATGTGTGCAATGGATTCTAGGTGTTGTTGTGAATCCTGAAACTTTAACAGAATGGGGTGTGAATGTGAGGGTACCAGGTGGACAGATTGTACTTAGTAGGTAATACCTGCAGTCTTGCTTTGATGGTAAATGTCAAAACATCCTCACCAACGGCGGCGTTTTTAAACACTGAGTGTGAGACTGAGTGGTCAGCAAACCCCACACAGGCTAGCTTTCCCTGTAATCTGAGCCCACACCAGTGCTGCTTGATCTCAGACTGCTTCATGCTGAGCAGAACCCTCCTTGCAGAGTCTCTGTGCAGTTCGACAGTCTCTTCCTGAGGTGTTGTGATGTCGGCCTTCACAACCACACTGGGGTCTGTGATCAGTTCATCAGAGACGGGGACTTCAGTCTGTGTGTTGAGTCTTGTTCATTTCAGCTGAACTCCAGACCCCGAAGCCCTTGGCCTGAGAGTCCAGTTTCCCAGAGTCTTTCCTCCTGAAGCCGAGGAAGTTGTTCTGGTCTGCGCTGGCCAGGGGGATCTTCCTTCTGTGTAGATCCAGCAGGAGAGAGTGACATCATCATTGTTAAGCATGTAGAGCAGGTGGGCTAGCCTGGTGGCTATGTAGGTCCACTCAACATTGGGGGACTCCCAGCCCCCCCTCTCCACATGGGAGAAAGATGATGCCCTGTGTGGAGTGTGTGTTGAGGCCCACCCACTTTCTGACCAGCTGGACAGTTTTGTTTGTCATTTCTCTCAGTGCCTTGAGAGGGATGTGTACATTGGCAAAGAGATGTTGAATTTTAGCCAAAGCCACCTCTCTCACAGCCTGGAACTTCATGAGGACGGGGAGGGGGGACAGGTCAATCAGGTGGAGACGATGGAGAAACTTTGTAGTGAGCTCCTCGACCTGCTCCCCCCACTCGCCAGCGATGTTAAACCTGTGGCCAAGGTATGGGTAGGTCTCATTACGGGAATACACCTTAATAGGTTGGCCCATTACAAGAAAGGAGGGGGGCTAGTCGTTCTTGGCCTTATACCAGCGGTTGCCTCCACTGCGGCGCTCATGGAGTACGGCACACTTAGCTTGCTTCACCTCCAGCCCTGACCATTGGAGGAACTCATCAGTGCGTGCCAGAATGTTAATGATGACACCTGCACGTCGTCGGCGTATCCCTGAACAGGATTTGGGAGTTGGACATGCAGAGGAGCGCACTGGTAAATCCACTTCATCCATTGGTTGAGTGCTAGGATGAAATTCACGGCACTCCAGAGACAGACAGTTTTTATTCCCACCTTCAGTGCAATCGGCTCTGTGAGCTGCTGCCCACAGATAACCTGGCAGGTGTATTTCCTCTAATGCTTTTAGCATCACCTCATGGGAGAGATTACCAAACGCGTCTCTAAAGTCCAAAAACACTGTGTAGAATCATCTATTCAGGTTTTTAAGTAAAACACATGTTCGTTCACTCACACACACACACACACACACACACACACACACACACACCAGATTGGTCCCTTGAGATCATAGATCTCTTTTTCAAGGGAGACCTGCAAATACTAAATACTAATTGTACTCTATTATTTTCTAAAACAGAGCACTTTGTTAAGGGAAATTCTACTCCAACAACAGCTTTTTGGTATCGTATCGTATTTGGTTCTTGATTGTTTGTGAAGTTGGGGCTCACCATGTTGTTAATGTCCCTTTGCAATGCCTTTTTTTATATCCACACAAATGTATACTATAATTATGACCATTTCACTCAAATGTCTAATGGATGAAAAAGCTGAAGTGATGACAGGGAGGCACCTGTACTGGTTGGTGGAGGCAATGTGTTGTTGTGTTTGTTTGATCAAGAGGAAAGAAAGACCAAAACTCTATCTGTGTTTGTGTGTTCTCACAGCTGCAGTCAGACGGCATGCTGTGGGTGTGACCCCCCCCCCCCTCCACCTGCAGTCAGCTGAACACAGAGCAGCTCAACAAGGGAGGACTCCACCTGAGCCAGAGGCCTCACACTGGTATGACATCACACCCTCTACCTGTAGAGTTCAAAGTTCAAGATGCAAAGACTTTATTGTCATATGCACAGCTACAGTGTAAATATGCAATGAAAGCTTAAGTCCCAGGCTCTTCAAACAATGCAACATATGAATATATAAATGCAGAAATAAAATAGTGCAAGATTATTTTTGCAAGACTAATGTGCAAGTAATGCAGGAGAAGTTATATATATATTTATGCAAAATAGAATAAGATGAGCTAAAAATAGAATTTAAAATGAAATGCTGTAAGTGAAATAAAATCCTGCATATTGTAATAATAAATGACATTTATTAATTTAGGATATACCCCTTGACATGAACCATCTAACATATACAGTAGTACAAAAAGCAAGACAGTAACAAGAAAAGAAAAAGATAAATATGTGAGATGCAAACAGATGAATGGTATGAAGGCACAGAGCTCAGGAGTTTAGCAGTCTTAAATGTGAGTTCAGTAGTGTTCAGTGCACGTGGGGCTGCTGTGTTATATCATGTGCAATAATAATATGTGCAATGATGTATCTGCCACTACAGTTTTTACATTATTTGTCCATCTTTGTTTCTTTTAATTTGTTGCTTGATTTGCTCTTTTTACTGTATCGTTAGTAGTATTATTATTATGTATTGTATCTTTTGTAACTCTGGCACAAGAATTCCCTTCAGGATGAATAAAGTCTTATCTTATCATATCTCTGTTTACCATTATGGTAACTATGTGCCTATTTCCAATGCAGCCACCGCAGTCAGTTTATGTCCATTAACATAGTACACTATTAGCCACTACCTTTGTGTTAAAACAATATCATACATTCTTGGAAGACAACTAGTCTGTAAAACAGCATATCATCTGCATAGCACACAGAACAAAGTCTATATAAAGTTCATAAACTAGTATGTTTGAGTGGATTTGGGTAAAGAATGTATTTTTGGTGGTTTTGCTCAGGTCCTGCTCTGAAGAGTGAGGCCCACGCTTCCTTTCAGGCTGATGTGAAGAAGGCCATCGGAGCAGAGAAGACGGCGCTGCTGCTGCAGGCCATCCAGAGCTACAAGAGGAGCGACTGCTACGAGGCCCTGGTGGGCACCGCCGTGAGCCTGTTCACAGAGAGGGACCAGGACTTCCAGCTGCTAGTCCGTAAGTCCCTTCAAACCAGGATCAGAACAGGTTTATTGGCAAGTAGGTTTACACATACGAGAAATGTGTCTTGTAGTGTATGGTGCAAACATAAACACAGTTAAAGAAGATACAGAGTAAGAAAAACAACCAAACAATTATAAAACACTATTTAGTTTTAAACTATTATACGTTAAGATATCGAAAATTATTTACATGAAATCTCGATAAACCAAAAAACTACTCACAGTATACTAAGAATAGTACTAAGAATAATAAAATAAAAATATGTGCTGTATGTATTGTTATGGTAAGTGGAAAGCTGTGTACATGCTAATAGAGGTAGCTTGTGTACAAATGTGCAAAATATTCGGAGGGTTGTGCAGAACAATACTTAAGTAAAAACGATATATTGTTTGCATAGTGTGCATTCATGTAATGCATACTGAAATCTAAATCACGGCATAAGCTCAATACATTTTGAAGTTTGAACAAGACATTTCCTATGAGACGTCACTTTACACTCACTTTGATCTTTCTTTTCTGAAGGATTTGGCACGTTTATTCCCCCCCGCCATAAGAAGCAGTACAAAGAGATGTTGCAGGCTCTGACGGGCCAGTCCTCCTCTGCTGAGGTTCCTGCTGTGACTGAAGACGAGCAAAGACACGGTGAAGAAAAACCCAATCTAGCACTAGAATCAGTGTTTATGTGTTTGTATTACTTCCTTCCTGAGACTTGTTGTACTTTCCTTTAATGTTAGAGAAAAGCTCAGAAGTCACTGAAATCCATGAGAATCCTCTTCATGGAGGATGTTTACATCGGAAGCAAACCGTTCAGCAGTCTAGCAGAAGTCAATGGTTGATAGTTGTTGGTAGTTGCCCTGCGCCACACTGTTGGACCTGTCTTCCAACTAAAGAGAAAATGGATAAAGGGATATCTTATCAAGGTTTACATGAGAAGATAAAATGACAGTTTAGCTAAAAACACCCAGTGTTTCCCCTACCATTGTCTTGGAGGGGCGCTGCACCCCCCCAACGGAACCCCACGCCACCCCTGAAATTGAAGATGTTTTTTTTTCATATATATATAAAGCGCCAAATCACAACTGAAGTAATACTACGGTCATATTTAATATTGAACAGGTGCTCTTTTATTAACTAAACCAAACGCTGACGTTATTGATCAAATGTATGTGCACGTTTCAGTGTCCACTGCGTTGCTTTGCGCATTCACATTTTCTCCTCTGCTCTGTTTTCCGAAGGGCGGGTCTCCGCTCCCCACACACACGTGCGCACACGTGCCAGATTTAGCTTTGAGCTCGTTTCCATCCGCAGTCCCTCACATAAAACATTTAAGAAGATTACATTTACAAACATTGTAAAAACAAAATACATGATGTGCAAAAAGTGCAAAAGAGCAAGAGCAGCATACACAAGTATTTATGACATGGTAACACAATGTAGCAGCTACGACTTCTAAAGTGAGAGGATACAAGAGATACCTAAAGGGCAAGAGGAGATACCCCTGAGTTAAAGGAGAGGAGATACCCCTGTGTTAAAGGAGAGGAGATACCCCTGTGTTAAAGGAGAGGAGATACCCCTGAGTTAAAGGAGAGGAGATACCCCTGTGTTAAAGGAGAGGAGATACCCCTGTGTTAAAGGAGAGGAGATACCCCTGAGTTAAAGGAGAGGAGATACCCCTGTGTTAAAGGAGAGGAGATACCCCTGTGTTAAAGGGCAAGATGAGATACCCCTGTGTTAAAGGGCAAGAGGAGATACCCCTGTGTTAAAGGAGAGGAGATACCCCTGAGTTAAAGGAGAGGAGATACCCCTGTGTTAAAGTGCAAGAGGAGATACCCCTGTGTTAAAGGAGAGGAGATACCCCTGTGTTAAAGGGCAAGAGGAGATACCCCTGTGTTAAAGGAGAGGAGATACCCCTGAGTTAAAGGAGAGGAGATACCCCTGTGTTAAAGGAGAGGAGATACCCCCTGTGTTAAAGGAGAGGAGATACCCCTGTGTTAAAGGAGAGGAGATACCCCTGTGTTAAAGGAGAGGAGATACCCCTGTGTTAAAGGGCAAGAGGAGATACCCCTGTGTTAAAGGGCAAGAGGATATACCCCTGTGTTAAAGGGCAAGAGGATATACCCCTGTGTTAAAGGGCAAGAGGAGATACCCCTGTGTTAAAGGAGAGGAGTTACCCCTGTGTTAAAGGAGAGGAGATACCCCTGTGTTGAAGGAGAGGAGATACCCCTGTGTTAAAGGAGAGGAGTTACCCCTGTGTTAAAGGAGAGGAGATACCCCTGTGTTAAAGGAGAGGAGATACCCCTGTGTTAAAGGAGAGGAGTTACCCCTGTGTTGAAGGAGAGGAGATACCCCTGTGTTAAAGGAGAGGAGATACCCCTGTGTTGAAGGAGAGGAGATACCCCTGTGTTAAAGGAGAGGAGTTACCCCTGTGTTGAAGGAGAGGAGATACCCCTGTGTTAAAGGAGAGGAGATACCCCTGTGTTAAAGGAGAGGAGTTACCCCTGTGTTAAAGGAGAGGAGATACCCCTGTGTTAAAGGAGAGGAGATACCCCTGTGTTAAAGTGCAAGAGGAGATACCCCTGTGTTAAAGGGCAAGAGGAGATACCCCTGTGTTAAAGGGCAAGAGGAGATACCCCTGTGTTAAAGGGCAAGAGGAGATACCCCTGTGTTAAAGGAGAGGAGATACCCCTGTGTTAAAGGAGAGGAGATACCCCTGTGTTAAAGTGCAAGAGGAAATACCCCTGTGTTAAAGGAGAGGAGATACCCCTGTGTTAAAGGGCAAGAGGAGATACCCCTGTGTTAAAGGGCAAGAGGAGATACCCCTGTGTTAAAGGGCAAGAGGAGATACCCCTGTGTTAAAGTGCATTTAGCGGTGATTGCACGTCTGGTTGTTTCTCAACCATTCTCTGAGTTGACCTTTGAAGCTATTGAGAGTGGGACAATCCCGTATCTCAGTAAGGAGGCTGTTCCACAAAGAGCTGCCTTTAATGGAGAGGACATTTTGTCCAAAAGTGGTCCTTCTACGGTGGACCTCACAGTCTCCTCTGGTTTCTGACCTAGTGCAGCGTCCAGTGTGATTTCTGTGGATGAATTCCCCTAGGGGGTGGGTGGGGGGGGGGGGGGCAGTCCATGTAAACATTTATAAATAAAGCTCATACTTTTAAAAGACTTAAAGCTCCCATGTCATGCTTTTCCGGTTATTACCCGTCCCCTTGTGTGTTATGAAGGTTTTTATGCATGTAAACGGTCTGCAGAGTCAAAAACCTCAAAGTACACCCTGTAGCGAGTAAAACTCTAACACAGAAAATACCTCCCCAAAACGCCTCGTTGGAGATACGTCACTGCCCATTTGATTCTTCCGGGTACCGCCTGATGTCATGCGGTACCCGGAACGAAATGGACCAATCCCGAAGAGCTATGGCCACACCAGCAACGGCGTGTTCCTCCAGAGGTTCGAAGAACCGGCATTTCACAGACGAAAGCTTCCAAAACATTGCCCAGTTTGAGGCCGGATATGCACAGCTTGTTTGGACCGTTTGGAGCAGGGGAAGATTCGGGTACACAACCTGTGAGTTTGCATTGTTATTTGTGTATTTATCAAACAAGGTAGCTACCACGACTGTTTAAATGTGTAAACATGTTTCGGACTGCTAAGCCAGTGCTAACTAAGTTGCTAGAGTTTAAATATATCAACTACAATGTCAGCAGATGGCCTTACATGTTTGTCATGGCAGGAGAATGTCTGCAGTCACACACACGGAATACTCATACAGTATACTCCGGGTGATTTACCGTACATTGTGACAGTACATGTATAGCTAACGAGGCTAGCTATGCATGTATAGCTAACGAGGCTAGCTATACATGCTAGCGGGAAACATTGTATGACCGAACGTAGCAGACTACCCGTAGAATAATGCAATTATAAACACGTTATTGCTAGCCTAATATGAACCACTAACTTTTGTTCATAGTAGTTTTATTACACTCCGTTCCTCCAAGCTAACGTTCATATCGTGTTAGCTACCAAGGTAAACAAAGCTAGGTTAGCATATTAGCAGGCAAGCTGTTCATTAGATATATCCACACTCCTACCACAACTACTACTAACGAATCTAAAACAACTAAGTTTCTCTAATATTTTGTGATTTGCATTTTATTTCGTCCAGACAGATCCTGCCGGACAATACATGACTGGACGACCACACTGAGGCATCGTCTCAAAAAGCCCCGGCTGCTATAGGCAAGATGCCGACAACGGGGAGTAATTGACGATATACCGTATATATGTATATTTACGTTCATTTTGTACATTTCTAAAAATAAAGTTTAATGGAAATACTTAGTAGGCCTATCCTTTCTTCCCTGAATTATTTGCTCCTATAACATATCATTCATATATAGCAAACCATGATTTGATTTCTCATCAAACAGTAGTAGTTTATAACGGGTAAAAATAACTTACTCTTTGTTATGACCGGCTCGTAGGCCACAACGGAAAGACAAGGAGACATACACGAGTTTACAAAACCACGGCACATTTATTGTGGTAAATGCAGAGATACGTGGTTGAGAGGATCGCAGAGTTCGTCTTCCTGCAGCCGCTTTGGAGAGAGACAGGGGCCGCCGTGTGACTCCGGGCAGCTGGGCTTAATAGCACCTCGGCTCCGGAGGTGTCCGTGATCGCGCTGATTAGCCTCTTCAGCTCCACCCCATCGTAAGACAAAGGCCCTGGGGCCGTCACACTCTTCTATAACAACAGTTAAAAATATATATGTATATAAAATATACGGCTGTACCGACGCCATGATAAGACTGATGTTCCGCTGAGAGCAGCCGGGAAAAGCACTGTTAGACATGGGCGCAGCCTCTCTGGTGGTTGACTAATCAGAACAGAGTGGCCGAGCTGACCAATCGGAGCACACTAGGCTCACAGGGAGGGGGGGGCAAGAGCTCCAACGAGTCGTTTAGTGGAGAGAGTGAATACTGCTGAATACACATGCTTGACAGAGATGCTGTATGCGAAACCAATGTGAGTTTGGAAAATTGCACAGTATAAATCTATTTTAGTATACCTCAACAATGTAATTATGATCAGTGGAAATGGCCATGACATGGGCCCTTTTAAAATGGTCAAAACTCAAGAAATGGTGTTTCTCAAGGATGGTATGAATTTGGCTTTCTGTCAAACACCTTGATAGCTCTCTTGTACAGCTGTTCTATGGGTTTAAGGCAGGGGTAGGCAAGTAAGTTTGGCCTTGGGCCAATTTTTTTCTGAGCCACTAGATGGCGGGCCAGAACATAATCAATGCCTAATTCAAGGAATTGATTTTGGTAAGAGGGCGCAGCGCCCCTGTTCCCCGGTTCAGAAAAAACTCTGATATCGCTGATAACCCTCCCCATCAACACTCTGATGCGCAGTCAGATCCGCTGATTGGTTCACTGATGATATAGACGCCCAATCCAGAGCCTCTGGCTAGACCCGCCCAAAGGGAGGCTCGTCCTCTCTAGCCCCATTTCAGTCCCATGTTAAAAGCCAGGGCTATTATCTGTATTTTAACAGACTTATCTTTTAAATTGAGGTGTATTTATTGTTCTCTTCAAAGTTTATTTTTCTCTGAAATTTTAGGGAGGATGGTCCTCCCTTTCCTCAATGGGCGCGCCTCCACTGAGTAAAGTAGAGTTATTAACTAGGTAGCAGTGTTATTTAACATACTTTTATTCTGATAAGTATTGTCAAGTTCTCTGGGTTTTTGGCATTTATTTGAGTGTTTGCCCACATTTGAGAGGCTTGAGGGGCAACAGAGGACGCATGGACAACTAGAATCCTCAACTTTTCAAGGACACATTAGGATTCTTTCAGGTTGAAAACCTTTAAAAAATACCAAAGGACAAAATAAATCAATTACAGCATGTTTTGCTTTGCAATTTATTTAATATATTATAACCTAAATTAATCAGTAACCAAGTATTTTACTCAAACTCAATGTATTTAATAGTTAAATAAGTACTTTAATTGACCTGGTTCCCCACAACCACACATTTGCCATATGTGACCCGCTCTATCGAAATCAGTCGGAAGTCGCAACGGCTAATTTAAAAATAAACGTGGATTTGCGTAACAAAGTCTTGGCTTTCAGAATATGACACTTTTATTTCCAAAATCACACGATAAATACATGTTTGAAGCTTGTAAAGGGACGATGACACCTCTCACTCGCGCTCTGCTGTTCCTCATCGCTGCTTCCCCTCCCTCCGGCTGAAATTATAAATGTAAGCGTATAGTAATCATAGATAACACGGCAGGGCCGTTACAGTTTGTTTTCATCTGATTTCAATTAAACAAAGTCTTGGCTTTCAGAATATTAAACTTGTTTCTGCAAATTCAGATGATAAATACAACTTTGAAGCTTGTAACGGCATAATTACAAGCGGAGAACGGAGTAACTTAACGTCACAGCAGGCATAACAACAGCCGGTGTTTCTCGTGAGTGTTTTCCCCGGGAAACAAACACAATACACACAAACGCAAAATTACACAAACACATACACACTCGCGAGCTTCCCCCAGACCAGTAATCCAAAGCAGTAATGTCACTCTCCAAAGGTCTAAAGAGGAAAGTTGACGGTGAAAACAGGGCATTTAAAGAGGACTGGACAGCGAACTATACATTCATCCTACCTGGTTTCATCAATGCAAAGCCCTTGTGTCTTATCTGCAATGAAGTTGTGGCTGCTTGCAAAGAATACAATATTAAGCGGCACCACGAGACGAAGCATGACACCTTCAAAGTGGCCTTTCCACCCAAGACAGAGGCACAAAAGCGCAAGATTGAAGCACTGACAGCAGGTTATGCGCACAGCAGCAGGATCCTGGTGCGAGGCCTCACAGCCGCATTCAGGTAGGCCCGCCCCGGGGCCGGCTACGTCTATAGAAATCTCAGTAGGTGAATGCTTGCATAGAGGGTAGTACCCATAGAGTGGCGAAGTCCCTCCCCTTCCGGTGGACCTCCATGGGACCTTATTTCGGAAAAAATATGTATTGAAGTCAATGGAGAGAGAAAGATTATCTTTCGATCCCGTTTGAATTGTGCCACGAATTACACATATGATGTTTGTCAATTTAAAAGATATGTGTCTCATTTTTTTGTGTGAAACGCTCAATGAACTACATCTCATGCACAACAACACACGTCACCAAGATGGCCGTCACTACTGTCTTGTCAAAAAAGGGATTGACTACCCTCACTATCACCACAATGAAACACGTCCTGAAGAATGTCATGCAAAGCTGCCTGCCTGCCTTCCTTTGATTCTCTCTGAACTGCCTGATCTTTTTAATGTTTAAAGATCGCCGATGCTAATATAGCGTTAGCGTTAGCATTTCTCCCCTGGGCTTAAATGGTGTATTATAGAATGATCACACCGGTGTGACAGTACTCTTCAAAGGGTTCACGAAATATGACTACTACTCTTACTGTTTAACATTTTGGCTTACTTAATGTTACTTCATGTTAAGGCTAATAAAAATGACAAGGCTAAGCCTGCTGTAATGCTAACTAACGTGCTTGCTACTAGCTAGGTAGCTAACTTGATCCAGCCACTCCTGGTCCTTTCATCAGACGGGAAGCGAAAGAACGAGCAAGACCCATTGCTGGTATGATAACAACCTGGTACTAAGCACACAGGCATCTTGTTAAAGTTATCTTATCTTAGCTATCTCTATTTTAGTGGAGGAAAACAATTGTGACATCAGTTATGAGTGACATCACTTACGCGACTCTGGAATTTGTAGTCTTTCTAGTTGCATATTTTTCATAGTCTTATATTTCAACAGTTTTATGACAAACTGTGACTTTTTTGACATGGAAATTATTTTTTAAGATTGACAAACATCATATGTGTAATTCATGGCACAATTCAAACGGGATCGAAAGATACGTTTTCTCTCTCCATTGACTTCAATACATAATCTTTCCGAAATAAGGTCCCATGGACCGGAAGTAGATGGGCGTGACTTCGCCACTCTATAGAGTCCAGTAGAGGGCGGAGCCTGTGAGAGATATAACCTTTGTCTAAATGTTTGGTGATTAGTTTTGACACCCATTTCTCAGCTATCTTAGAGACACAGGGGAGGATGCTGATTGGTCTGTAAGGTGACATCATTGCCTTATCCCCAAATTTAAAGATCGGTGTCACCGTGGCCACTTTTCAGGACGATGGAACTTCCCTCGTGCTGATAGATTGATTCACAAGCATAGTAATTGGTTTTATTAGACCGTCGATATGTGTTTTATAAAGTTGGTGTCTAAATCATCTGCATCCCTAGCCTTAGAACCTTTTAACCCTAAGATTATATTTTTTACCACCTCCTCTGTGATTTCCTCCAGGTCAAAAACTGGATGTGTATCCACAGTCGGGCTAGGTGAGACCTCAGATGGGAAGAGCTTTGTAATGTCCAGAGCACTATTTAAGAAATACTAATTTAGAGAGTTGGCCAACACTGCAGGGTCTTTTATCAGGGCATCATTGATTATTAATTCTAGAACATTATTTTCCTGTTTTGTATGTTTACCCAATAGTTTATTTAAGATTTGCCAAACCTTTTTACCGTTACCTTTCGCACCTTCAATTATATTGATGAAGAAGTTTGCTTTGGCCTGTCTTATTGTTTGTGTTACCTTGTTACGAGCATGAGTGAATTTCTGTCTGTCAGTGAATAGTCCGGATTTCATGCTCTGCTTTAATAGTTGGTCTCTAGATTGCATTAGATTCCTGCACTGTAGATTCAGCCAGGGAAGATGATGTCCTTCCTGTCCCTAAGGCACCCTCTCCTTGAGAAGGAAGACATAGCATCATTAATTTTAGATATAAACAGATTACTGTTCTCACCAATATCTTCAGAGGAGAGCGTGTCCCCCCAATAATCATTTTCACTGCCTCCATAAAACGTTGTTGCAGGTTTTTGGGGATGAAGCGAGAACCCAAGGCAGGGGTTTTAGGTGTGGCCATGAACCTTTTTTTTGTGAGTTTCCTGGCAAAAAGAACAAGATTATGGTCAGAAAGACCAGTCAGGTTTTAACCAGTAGGTTTTAACTATTGTGTCAGCTTTGTTTGTAAATAATAAATCTATCATAGTCTTGGAGGTTTTAGTTATTCTAGTCGGTTGATCCATTAGTTGTATTAAGTTGTGTTTATCCGTGATCCGTTTTAAGCTCTTTCTATTTGTTTATCATTCCAGTTGATATTAAAGTCTCCTAGAATGATTAGCTCTTTGTTGGAGTCACAGGAATTCAGCAGGAGTTTTACCTGGTCATAGAAATCCACCTTAGCGGTGGGTTGTCGATGCAGGCAAATCATGGTGAGGGAAAGTGTGATTTCCACACCAACACAATCAAACTCAACATTAGCTGGGAGTGCAATCTCCCTACAAGTAATGGTATCCCTCACATAAAGCAACACACCCCCTCCTTTTCCCTTCAGTCTGTCCTTCCTAAACACATTATATCCTGACATAGATACAATAGAAGATGGTGACGACTGTTTTAGCCAAGATTCAGATATTCCCAAACAGTCAATATTGGACTCAAGGAGGAGATGTTCTAACTGTTCATGTTTATTACAGATGCTGCGGAAATGTAAATGTCCACTGAATAGTCCCTTCGGCTTGCACCGAGGATCCCACACTATTTGGGCTTGATTCACAGTTTGAAACATTTTTGTGTTTCAAACCTAGGGGAAACACTGACACCATTGAGATTCCACTGTCTTCATCACACCTAGAACAATGACAGAGCTCTTCAAACCAGAAGCTGGTATGGATACTAGCATACTATATGATCTAAGACATTTTACTCGCTTGTGTTCTCTTTAGCAACAATTATAGTAATAACAATTCATTAGCCTAGGGTTCACCAAGACCTAAGCTACAGTGTGTGTCGTGGAAATAAAGATACATGTCACACAGCATGTGCACAACAACAGTGTGGCTCAGTGGTGTGTTTTAATAGTTTGGTGACAACAATGGAGTTCTATGGCCCAGAGGAAGAAGATACATCAGGCTATAGACCGCCTGAGTGTCTGTGGACAGATTTTGTGTCAGTAATAGCCAAACAACCTTGAACAATGACAAAAAAAAGAAAGGTTCTCCTGACGCCATCTCCACCTGCTGCTACACCCTCTCTACATTCGTTGTCAAGTTTTCGTCCATATTTTCTACATCTTTATTTATCTCTTTGGTTTTTTTCATATTATTTGTATTCACGAAAAGATAAATATATAATAATCCAAGACTAACTGTATTATTTAAAGCGATGGTTTCCAAGTTTTCTCCTTCCTTTTCCTTCAACAAGTAAACTGGTGACTCATGAGGAGTAGTGTTCTTTCAGCTCTTTGGTTGTCTGCACACTTGTCTCATGCAGGCGGAGCCTGGGTAACAGAGAGAATACAGATGTGCAGGTCTTCACTGTGCCCTTATCCTCTGAGGTTGCAATTTGTTTTGAATTATTTTAAATAATGATTACACTTTAAAAAGAATAGTGTAATTTACATAAGGAAATCCAAAGATGTAAGCCATTTGTATATTTAAAAAACAAAAAGAGGTCAGGATGAATTTTTGGGGACCTGTCGGTTAATAAGCTGTACTTTGAAGACACAAAGTAGAATGATTTGGGATTGAGTGATCTGATGGTGGATCAGTGCAGATGGTGTGCAGTGTGTCAGTGAGCCTGGCTCTGAAGTGTTGCTCTGGGTACGCCCTCCGCCTGCATCGCCTCTTTTACAACATCACTGTAAGTTAGAAATGTTGACGGCCAACTCCTCAGGTGATCTTGATGGTTTTTCTCAGTTCACTTCCCAGAGACACAACAATGGTGTTATCATTTACAGGAATAGAAGTGTCGACATGAATATTAGACAGTTTAAAATATAATAAAATACATTACATAAGACTTACACCTTTTACTTTTTTTTTCAGCTTCATCTTCCCCACCTCTCAAGACCCAAAGCAAGATTTCCAGTTTTTTCTCCAGCAGCCAAAGAAAGTAGAATGTGAGTCACAGGAACATTGTGTATGTATTTCAAACTGGCCGAAAAAGCAGACCACTGATAACATGGCTAGGCCTTGCTGTGGGCTGATCTGGCTGTGGCCTTCTCATGTGAATGTGTACACATCTGTAAAGCTGAACAGACTGTTTGATATTAGAATAATGTCAAGAAAATGTAGTATTTGTTTTCTTTTTATATTTGTTGTTTTATAAGATAATAAAATTCATGAAATTACAGGAGCCTCAAGGGTACTCTGTAACAGCAGTGCTGCAATGAAGCCTGCTCAATACAATCTACCCGTGATGTGGGGGGGGGGGGGTAGCTGGTAGCTCTGGGAGGGAAACAAATATTTTTGACCTTTGGCGCTCATCCTAATTTTCGGCCTTGATGTAACAACATTCATAATTAAGTAAAGGTAACACCCTTTTCACCCCGGTTACAAGTTTCATTTGCCCTGTACGATGGGCGCTGTAAGTGATGAAAGTGGGGGATGTTCACTTATCAGGCGCCCGCTGCTCACAACCAAAGTGCGAGCGAGCGTGGGAGCGAGCGAGAGAGAGAGAGGGCGCACCACACCGGTGATTGTTGTTGTTAGCGTCTGGTGCTAGCTGCGCTAACGGATATAAGAAGATGTTTCTACAAGAAAGTGGAGGGAGAGTCCTCTCCTGTCAGACTGAGAGGCTCAGTGAGGTAAGTGACTCTCAGTGTTTAGATAGTTCACTTTAGTCTAAGTAATCTCAGTGGGTCTCAAACGTTTTGATCACAATTTATGTAAACAAATATTTCCAAGGCACACCTTTATAATTATTAGGATAAATAAAAACAGGTTTGAAATAATTCCAGTATATACTATAGGACAGTAAACCAAAACTATTGTTTAAAACTGGAGAGATTAAAAAAAAAGCATAAATAAATGTTAACTATGTCACATAAGACATAAATGAACAACAAAAATAAAGTTTAGTAGGTTATTGGTTATGTTCATATACTTATTTGATTATTAAAATGTAAACCGATATTTTTCATATGGGTGTTTTAGAGTTGTACCCCCTAGATCAGGTCTCTAGTAATTGTGTGCTCAAAGTGCACCAGATTGAAGCATTTTACTTTAAAATGTTTAAACATTTCTTCCCGGGGGGGCATACCCCCGGACCCCCCTAGAGGATGTGACGTCCACCCCCCAATTCAAACATGTTCATACAATACTGAATACATATGAAGCCTTTTTTATGTATATTACCTATGTCAATAAGTTTCTGTTTTGTAGTGTATTGGTCTTTTGTAGAGTTTTTTATTTATGTATGATTTTCAGGCTGGGGGAGGGGGGGGTCGCCAGCAAAAATCTTGCCTAGGGCAGCAAATTGGTCAGAACCGGCCCTGAGTCGATCCATCCTCGTGCGAATATTTTTATATGATAATGAGCCCCTCCTTGTCACGATCTTAGTTTTATGTCACGATTTTAGTTTTGTCTGGGGTTTTATTTTGCAATTCTGTTCTCCCTGGCCCTTTCTCATTTCACTAATTCCCCTCCTCGACTCCTATCCTCGAGACGTAGTCCCGCCCACGGGAGATGCGAGCGGAGGAGCCGAGGAGGGGAGCCGAGGAGAGAGGAGGGGAAGCAGCAGGCGGTTAGAGAAATGAGAACTCCTCTCCTCTGAGCGGTCATTTTAAAGAGACGTCCATTAATGATGACAGGAGGCACAGCAGCCCTCTGTCTGATGGACAGATGTGTTCATGACGACTTATATATTTACTTTGATTCATTCACAGTGCGGTATAATGAGACAATAACAGGCTACAGATGCGGACATACACACACACATATATTTATATATATATTTATATAAATATATACAATTTCAGAATCAAACAGAGCACTCTCATAATAACGTAACACTATCAGAGACTGGATATATCCCCCCCCCCTCTCTGGTCGCTACAATGAGGGAAATAAATAACGGGCCAAAAGTTTTATTTACAAGTATTACAAGTAAGCAGAGGACACCAAACCAACTGAGACCTGTCTGTCCGCTGCATCTACGCACACACTGTACCACATACACGCACCTACAGCTCCTAAAGCATATCATCAGGATACAGCCGTTGTGTATTTTATTATGTGAAGCACTAAATGGTTTTAGAAAAATATCGACTTTGTTTGTAGATATCTACTAAACTAAAGCAAATAAAGAGAGTAGGCCTGTTATACTGAGTGATATATATTATACACACTGCTCTGCTTTCTGCACGGACCTCACAACTGTTCTCACTGTAAACATCGCGTCGCGATGAAAGCAGTTAATAAAATAATATCCAGGGGATGCATGCAGAGCATGCAGAGCTGCATCCACGAAGGAGCCGTGGAGGACCGTGGAGGACCCATCAGTGTATCCTCGGTTATAGCTCCTCCAGAGAGCCTCCTCGACGCTCGATCCTCGGTCCTCGAAGTGCATTTAGAGAAATGAGATGTCCTTCAACATGGCGCGCTAAAATTCATTTCCGGGTCACTACCGGAGGACCGAGGAGTCGAGGAGGGGGATTTGATGAAATGAGAAAGGGCCCCTGTGTCTTGTCTTCCTTCCTGTGTTTGCCCTCCTGTGTCTGATTGTCTGATTGTGTTCACCTGTTGCCCTTGTGTTTCTGCCTCCCCTGCCCAGCTGTGTCTTATCCTGTGATTACCCTTCTTTGTATTTAGTCTTGTCTTCCCCTGTGCTCCATGTCGGTTCATTTTCTTTCCTGTCTCCCTCCATGTTGGTCACGGTCAGTTTTTGTTTTGATGCTACCTCGTGCTACCTGTTTATTTTATGTCATGTTTTTTCAGTCATCAGCTTTATAAAATACTGTAAAGCTCGCCTTTTGTTCCTTGACCTTTTTGTCTTTTTTATTCTGCATTTGGGTCCTACCTTTTCCCGAATCCTGACACTCCTTCTGATTTCCATAGCCACAGGTTTCTGTAACCAATCAGTGAAGAGTAAAGCCAGACCAAAGCAACCTGTAGATGAAAGGTTCCTGACATTGTGAGGCTGTGCTGTGAATTGTACATTATTCCAGATTCAGGGGACTAAGTATTAATTTGCCTTTGAATATAATCAAAATATCAATATAACCTGCCTTCATTGTCTTTTAAAATAAAATCGCCTTATCCTTTTCCTTAACCCTCTGGAGTGTGAAGTGAAGGGTATTTTCTCGATTTTCAGATGTCAGACAGATTTACTCATGTCATCCATTTTTTTTGGTGTTTCAGATTTGGTTTACCAAAGTCTTTGGTTCACAAAAGTAGTGAAATATATGAATTACACGATAGGCCTATATAAATGTGTTATTCATGTCTAAAATGAAAATGTGTAAATTAGAATTTTGAGTAAAATAGTTCCATCCCTCTACTTTCACCACAGAAAAGTTACATCAGGACTGATTCATGACTTCATATTCCATACCAAGGTTCATGTGATGTGTACAAATACAAATTGAGCATTATAACTTATGTTAACATAAGAAACTGTAAAATCTTAATTTTTACAATATCAGAACTTTTTCAACCAACTATTCATTATAAATGTAAAGGCAGGGGGAGCAGTGGCATGGTCTTTGTCTGTCTTCCAAGACAGTGGGTCTGGCTGCTGTGTAGGTGGGAGGTAGGTGGGATTGTCCCGGGTTGATGCTGGTGGCTGTGCGGGAGGTACGTGTGATAGGCGAGACTTCTTTGCTGGCTGGGTTGATCGTGATTGCTGTGGTGGAGGCCTTTGTGCCGAGGGGTATCTTAATCTTGTGGCAGGCACAGATGGAGATGGAGGCAGCTGGATAAACGCCGCCTGTGAGCCACTGGGCCCAGGCAGCTGTGAAATCTGAAAAAAATGTAGGACAATAATTATTACCAAGTTCATTAAAATGAAGTTCAAGTGGAATGTTACTCAAGCACAAATAACAATGCACACCTAACAATAAAATGGGGAGGTGGGACAGGAGAGTCTCTCTCTCTCTCTCTCTCTCTGGTATTTCCAGTTATGTTACATTCAGTATAAAATCACAGACACAAATGTAAAGACCCACTGTCTTCCAAGACAGTGGGTCTGACTGCTGTGGGGGTGATGGTGCATGGGCTGCTGGTGGCTGTGTTGGAGGGAGGTAGGTGTGATAGTCCCGGGTTGATGCTGGTGGCTGTGTGGGAGGTATGTGAGGCTGCCAGTCTGCACGTGAGGCTGCCAGTCTGCACGCAATACCAGCTTTTTAAAGATGCAATGGAAAATGGCATAAGCTGGGCTGGGCAATTTGGTCTAGCTTAGCTACAAAATGTTATTAGTATTATGCTGACTATTATTATTTATTATGACTTTAGTTTTCTGTTTCCTGTTTTAATTGAAAGTTTACTCTCCTTGTGTCTTCCCTGTGTTCACTTCCTGCTCTGTGTGTTTTCCCTCCAGTTTTAATCGTCTCCCCCGCCCTGATTAGTTTAACCTGTTCCTAGCTCCACTTGCACTTCATCCCCTCGTCACCCTGTTTGTATATAAGTCCTGGTTTTCTGTCCTGTTCTTGTCGGTTCCTTGTTTGTCTATATCATGAAGTTCTGTATTTTCCATGTTGATTGTTGTTGCTTGAGTTCCGGTTCTGCCTGTAAAATACACATTTTTGGAAAGTTTTCTGCTGTCTCCAGTCTCTGCATTTGGGTCCAACCACTCCTTGTTTGACACTGATTGATTTGTACTATATATCGAATTGCTATTATTGCCATTATTTTATTATTATTAGTGCTTTTGCAGGGAATTATTATTATTATTACTTTAAATCTCATAGATATTAACACTATTATATATGGCTGCTATATAATATACTTAAATAATCATCATCATTAATTGTTTTGTGATATTATGTCCCTCTTGTTTTTATATATATATTTATATATGTGTCCCCTCTTCCTTCACAAGCACTATATATTCATATATAATACTATTCTGAAGCATACAATGAAATACAAGCAGAAAATGCTGCAGTGTTTGCGATGACACTTTGTATACATTTCTGAATAAATCTGAGAACCACTTTGTGGTTCTATTATTTGATATGGTTGGATATACTTTTCAGCTGGAGCAATACTAATACATCTGAGGCTGATGAATTCCCAAGCAGTGGGGACAATTAAGGTGAAGCAGACCTTGCAATAAGTTGCATTAAATACAAAGATTGTAAGTGATTGAAAAGATATAATAAAAAAAGCTGGAGAGAAAACAGTTCCTCTCCGAGACTCGAACCCAGCCCTCACGGATATTTTGACCCACACTTAGACCGTTTCTCTACAAGCAGGATATGAATGGATAGAAGTTAGTTTAAAGTGGACCTATGCTATATTTAAATGATATATTGTAGGGCCATACCTATATAAGGTATATTTATACGTTTCTGTTTTCAAAATACCAAACAGATCATGCATTTTAGCCATGCCTCATTTCGCTCTATGTGCTGTTTGCTGTCTACGGGTCTGATTCTGCTGACCACGCCCCCCTGCAGGAGAGGGGAGACGTGCTCTGATCAGCTGCTGGGCTGTCAGAAGAGGGGGAGAAAAAGAGATCTCCGTCCTCCGTGTTTTATTATATAGAGTCGTTATTCATTTGTTTTAAAATAATTGTTTAATAAATAACAAAGACCTTTGACCGGCACTTTTCTAATTTTGTCCGGAAGATTTAAACTTTAACCGACATCTTGACCGGCAAAAGAAACTGAAACTGAAACTCTGCCGCACGGTCCCCTCGTTCCTTGGAAGAGGCGGAGAGGTGGGTGTTTGTCATCTGCTGGTGGACTAACCGGAGAGAATTACAGTGCTTGCCTCGACGGGGAGGGATTGCATTGAATTACAGCAGCGGGAGCAAACGCTTGCCTCGGGGAGGGAGAAAAAAAGCCACAGCGGAGAATAAACAGAAGGGTAACCATGGTAACTATGGGCGGGAAGTCTTCTTCGCTGCTTTTGTGGCAGACTACAGCGCCACTTACAGGCCTGGCATATGTACTACAGCGTCTCCAGCGCTTTCGAGCGGCAATGGCCGGCCGTGGCCCAACCCCACATTCCCCTGATAGGTGGAGAGTTGGCCCAATAGCCGTAGCGCCACCGTCCTGACGTCAGGATAATGTTCAAATCTGGATCAGTTTTTATCAGATCCGTTGCAGCCCCTTTTTTTAGAGATTTGGGTATGGAGGAAAATAGAGAGGGTTGTGTTTTCTGACACTTGGTGAGTTCCCTGGAACACCGGGGACACATATTCATGTATAAAAGACGTACAAAAGTGCATTTTGCATGATAGGTCCCCTTTAAATAATATATCTCTGGAGTCCACCCACGCAGTGCAGCGTCGAAGTGCGCATATTTTACGTATTACGTGATACAAAACACAACAGTGTCCTTTTTATTTGTTTGTCCTCTGCCATGGAATTGGAGATGGAATAAAGCAGCTGTTATCAAAAGCCTGACAGTCTCAGAGTGATCCATCAAAAAGAGAAGACATAACATAGGGGTTACATGGGGAATACCGCGAAAATTAACAACAGGTTTATTGATCAATTTTTTGTTATCGATAGTCATGAACTTTCTCTTGTGACAAAATAGACTCTCCGTTAGTAAACGTTTACTCTGTGTAAAAGTTATTTCTGTGTGTAAAATTGAGGTAACGTGTAGATGAATAACAAACGTTTATTCGTCCCACACATACAGATGTATTTACATTTGTGTCTGTGATTTTATACTGAATGTAACATAACTGGAAATACCAGAGAAAGAGAGAGAGAACTTAGTAGTAATTATTGTCCTACATTTTTTCAGATTTCACAGCTGCCTGGGCCTAGTGGCCCACAGGCGGCGTTTATCCAGCTGACTCCACCTCCATCTGTGCCTGCCCCCAGGTCAAGATCTACCGTGGCTCAAGGGCCTTCACCAGAGCCAACACCATCAAGGACCAGAGGACCAGCATCACTACAGCGGCCTCCATCTCCATCTGTGCCTGCCACAAGATTAAGATACCCCTCGGTACAAAGGCCTCCACCACAGCCATCACGATCAACCCAGCCAGCAAAGAAGTCTCGCCTATCACACGTACCTCCCGCACAGCCACCAGCATCAACCCGGGACAATCCCACCTACCTCCCTCCGACACAGCCACCAGCAGCCCATGCACCATCAGCTGCACCTACACAGCAGCCAGACCCACTGTCTTGGAAGACAGACAAAGACCATGCCACTGCTCCCCCTGCCTTTACGTTTATAATGAATAGTTGGTTGAAAAAGTTCTGTTATTGTAAATATTGAGATTTTACAGTTTCTTATAAATAGTTGGTTGAAAAATAAAGTTCTAATGCTCAATTTGTATTTTTACACATCACATGAACCTTGGTATGGAATATGAAGTCATGAATCAGTCCTGATGTAACTTTTCTGTGGTGAAAGTAGAGTGATAGAACTATTTTACTCAAAATTCTAATTTACACATTTTCATTTTAGACATGAATAACACATTTATATAGGCCTATCGTGTAATTCATATATTTCACTACTTTTGTGAACCAAAGAATTTGGTAAACCAAATCTGAAACACCAAAAAAAATGGATGACATGAGTAAATGTGTTTTCACAAGAGTTTTGAAGTTTTCCAAAAATCGGATTTCTCATTTTCAGCTAAGTATCTCATAAGCCGGTGCTCTAAGGTGAGTGACTTGCATTTCTAGCAAGACCAGAGACTGTCCTGAACATTTTGTTATGTAACACATGTTATAAGAAGTACATTTAAAAGGGGATTTAAGGAGACATCTAAAAATTGAGAAAATACCCTTCACTTCACACTCCAGAGGGTTAAGGAAAAGGATAAGGCAATTTTATTTTAAAAGACAATGAAGGCAGGTTATATTGATATTTTGATTGATATATTGATTATATTCAAAGGCAAATTAATACTTAGTCCCCTGAATCTGGAATAATGGACAATTCACAGCAAAGCCTCACAATGGCATCTACAGATTGCTTTAGTCTGGCTTTACTCTTCATTGATTGGTTACAGAAACTTTGAATTTAGTGGCTATGGAAATCAGAAGGAGGGGCTCATTATCATATACAAAAACCGCGCGAATATTTGCGTATATTCGCGTGTATATTCGGCCGTTTTTAGAAAAAACGGGCGCAATATACGGGCGAATTATGGCACTTTGGGCTTTCCACAGTAAAAGGAGGGGGAGCGACGCGAGCGGGCCAAATAAGCAGTTGGGATGATCCTCTGTAAACTGTAAACCGTAAAGAGACATCGCGAGGTTTTCACTCGCGTCTCGCGATATTTAGTTGGGCACACGGCACAGTACTTCCATCATGGCAGGCAGGAAGTTAGTGCTAGAAGGAAGAGTAAGTATAAAAGCGTTTCTTTTAGGGCTCAGCGTGCTTGTAATCCCATTGATCAGGACGTGTTACGGACATGTTGACTGGGTCTTTGACTATCTGACGGAAACTCCCGGGAAGATAGTGATTTGCATCCACGTTGCAGTTATCAACGGCCTCTTGCTGGTCGCTTACAGAGGACCGCTGTACAAGGTAAGCTCTGACGGTAGCCGGCTGCTCGGCTTGTTCCTGGTCTGAACTGAGCTACAGTGACATGCCCTGTGGCTGTCCAGCACTGAAGTATTCCACCTCCTCCAGGCTAACGTAGAGACACTTGTCGGACAGCTTACTGCGCCCGTGTCAACTTTAGTGTTGCAATGCTATGTTAGCTAGCATTAGCTCCCTATTTAGTCAACTTGACTAATCTCATTAGCTAAAGAGGAATGAGACAGCTGGCGCTCAGGTGAACACAAGCTGTGCCAGCTAAAGCTGCAGTGGATCAGTCCATAAGCCACCTCAAATGTAACATTTAGCTTTATAAATTAAGTTGATAGGTTCTATATGCATAGCTGGAAGAAGTACTCGGATCTTGTACTTGAGTAGAAGTACCAGAGTGTAGGAATACTCTGTTACAATTAAAAGTCCTGCAATCAAAATGTTACTAAAGTAAAAGTAGAAAAAGTATTATCATCAAAATATAGTTAAAGTAGCAAAAGTCAAAAGTAGTCATTGTGCAGATTGATCAATTTCAGAATAATAGATATGATATGTTTTATAATGATTGATCATGAAAGTGTTCTCAAAGCTGGTAAAGGTGCAGCTAGTTTGAATGACTTTGAATACTGCAGGGTAGCTTGTGAATTTACTCCAGGTGGAACTAAAGTCTGATTTAACACTTGATTATATTTCACATCATTCATCCACATCTGTAAAGTAACTAAAGGTATTATACATGTAGTGGAGAAAAAGTACACCATTCACCTCTGAATGGTAGTGGAGTAGAAGTACAAAATGGCAAAACATTGAAATACTCAAGTACAATTTTGAGGTACCTGTACTTTACTTAAGTACAGTACTTGAGTAAATGTACTCGGTTACTTTACACCACTGCCTATATGTGACAGAACCCAATCTAGAGGTGTTTTGGGTTTGTGGCAAATGTAATTACTTCTGATAACACTAATTGAAGTATTTTACAAATAACCCAACTCCTGCTACACAATCAGCAAAATGCAGTGCATGTACTGACTAGTATACAGCATGAAATCTAGCTACACTTTTAGAGTTAATTTGCTACTCCAAATTGTTGTTTGGAGATGGTGTGTAAAACAAACAGAAAAAGACTAATTGTGTAGTTTGTTAACTTGTAATAAATGATGAAATGGTGATGGTCAGTGTGTGGATGTGTGCAGGTCGCAGTGAGAGCCTGCTTCCTGGGAGTGATCTTCGGCTGTGGACTGATAATCAGCTGCTCTGAGACCACGTGGACACACTTCGGCTGGTACTCAATCTCTCTTCATGCTCAATTTACTATTTAAAGTAGTATTACGCTGCTGTATGCATTTCATTTTTGAGTTTTCTTATCAAATTCATTTTAGGTTTAATATTTATTTTAGGTTTAAACGTAGTGCCGGTGTTAATAAACGCTACCCTGTCGACTTGTTGTTTTATGTTCTAATGTTTTGAACGGGGAGGCATACTTTATTAATCCCCTTGAGGAAATTAATATAATTTCAAATACACACATGCACAAACAGGATTTATGGACACTAGGACTGACAAACACATGCATTGATGGAGAGGTGTCAGAGCAGCTGCCATGTTTTGTCCTGCTCAAGGACCCTTTTGCAGTGCCCAGGAGTTGAACTTGCAGCTGATGTATCCCGTGCGGGGACTTGACCTAATGACCTTCCAGATCCCAGGCCAAGCCCCTATAGAGTAGCGCTACGTCACTTCCTGGCAAATTTACGGCCCGCCCACTTTCCGGTGAAAACAAAGGTTGCGGTCGAATTGTCAGTTTATCTTAGGAACCTTCCTAACGGTTTGAAATGACCCGGAAAAACCTCAGTCGCAGCCATGATAAGAGCTGTTTTGAATTCTCTAGATCAGCGGTTTTCAAAGTGTGAGGCGCGCCTCCCCTGGGGAAATCAGTGAAATCTAGCTAGTTAACTTTATGCGAGCGGCAACATGGATCGACTTTTAGTGAACTTACCTAAAGTGAAAGAGGAGACAGCGTCTGGCAAAAAACGTCACTTGCACAAGCAGGGGCGGATCTACCGGGGTTGCATGGGGTGGCAACTGCCACCCTAAAAATAGCCTTGCCACCCCAGTTGGCAGCTTTGTTTTGAAATAAAAGTTGTGGCTCATCGGACATTTATGAGAGAAAATCCCTAATGTCCGAGTGCAAGTGAATGCAGCACAAGACGCGAGCCTTGTAACCCCTCCCCCGTCCCTGGCGCCAGCGATGAAATGTGATTGACGGCGATTTCATTTGAACGGGACGGCGCAAAACGAGAAGCATTCGGACCCAAGTACTGAAGGAATGAGGTATTTGCGGTCTACAATGACAGAGAAGAGACTGTCAAGTTTGGCTGTGCTCAGCATTGAATCAAAACGCACTAAAGCTGTTGATCTTAATAAGTTTGTGAGGCGTTTTGCTGAACAACATGGTAATCGCCGCATTCAGCTGTTATAGGCATGCCAACTTGATGCTCTGCTCACGGATGACTCGATGAGCATATAAAACTGTTAAGATGATGACCTTACGTGTGTAAATATATTTTTTTCTTTGTGCCCCCAAAAAACTGTTTTAAGTCCTGAGAAAGTCAAATAAGACGGTGTGTAAAACTACACTGCCCAGCCAAAAAAAAGTACTTTGATTTAACTAGGCCAGTAGGTAAGGGTATTCCACTGGATAATAATACCCTGCATTATAGCAACAACAACAACAATAATAATAATAATAGCAATAATAATTGGGAGGGGGGGCGCAGCTGTTCTTATGTTCTCTGAGGGGAGGCTCACCTTCCCACACTTTGAAAAGCCCTGCTCTAGATGAAAGGAAAGGAGGTTTGAAACTTCCTTTATAACCTCCTTTAGCTTAAGAACCACTGGACCTCCCTAACCTAAAGGAGAGGAGAAAATGCTGCCCCACAATGCCTTGCGGCCGCGGCATTTGCCGTCACACAACAGTCGGCCGTTCACGGAAACAACCGATTATGAACGAGAAATGATATCATGAAAGTTACGGTGCCTATTAAGCATTTTAAAACTTATGTGGTAAGTTGCCAAAGTGCTTTGTTTTGAACGTTCATCAGTATTATAATCAAAAAGAGAAATATGAACGTTAGTTTTTACTGAAATGATCAAATCAAGTCAACATTTCACAGTCTTTACTGAGCTGTGTGGGGTTTGTTCAACTTTTAAAAGATGTTTGAATGGTGATATACACAGTGATAGATGTTAAGGACTAACGTTTATAATAAATACATTTGTATTGATTTTAAGATCTTTTCATACAATCATACGTATTGGGATCATTTGTATTAATGTGGACCGGAGGGAGAGGGTGACGAGCATAAGTTTCACTTTCCTTTTTTATTTCAATTCCAACTTTGGTCATGAAGAATATGTTTCTCTGTTGTCCCCGTTCATAAAGCATAAAGCAACAGCATCAGAGCACGGTGCAGAGTCTCTAGATGAGTTTACAGTAGTCCCTCGTTCTTATTAAACATCCATGTTGTAGTCCGCTGTATAGAAAACTGTAGTTTCCATAGTTTCCCCACAGCAGCAGGCGCACATTTATGACCTCCGCTGGCGCATCATAAACACGTCGGATAGTGAAAGTGCAGTCGATTCTCTAAAGTACCGCAGTCTCTTCTCCTAAGTCCTTTTGAATTCTCCTATCCACTATCCCTTAACCCTGTGACGTTTCACTCAGAGGTCAAAGAATAGACGATAGGGATAGAGGATAGGAGCTGATTTTTTGACTATTCGACTGC